CTTATGTTCTTGTATTCTTACTCGATTACAAATGGCAGTGGAGAAAGTGTGTGGTGAAAATATATACCTCACTCGGACACACCACTCTGTTCCTCCCTCCCCTCCCTAGATATCAGGTACCCCCAGGGGCCTAAAATAACCCTTCCTCCCCCCTCCCCTCCCTAGATATCAGGTCCATCCAGGGACCTAAAATAACCCTTCCCCAACCAACTAACACCCCTCATAAAAACAGGGATCAAGGCCCTCCTTTATCTATAACGTTATTAACGTCTATCAAGTTAGCAATCACAAAGATCCGTACGATGAATATTTATGATGACTGACAATGTAAAGAATTCACCTATTTAAACTAAAACACGCAGAAATGATGAACACAATAGTATCAATATTTACAATATTTACATTGGGGCTTTCTACAAGTTAAATATATAAATGTCTATATGAATTTAGACACTGGATTGGGGTATTTACAGAAATTCTTTTCTGCAAGTTAATTCATATTGTACTGTATAGTATCTATAATAAAAGGGTAGTGTCTTGCCCTAGATACAGTAAGTACAGAAATATGTTTATAGTGCACTTGTACAGGAATTCCCACATGGCAATAGCCATCGTCACTGCCTTAACCTAGATGTTATGTAAAATGTAAATGTACCTAAAATCTACTGAACTAAGTTATCAAATCATCTACAGTTATGCTTTTTAGTATATGATGGTTATTAAGGTGACTAGTGTATCGACTAATATTGTATTTTTGAAGCACAACAACTTAGGGCATACGCAAGCTAACTTACCCTGACTTTAACCTGGTGACATCATAACGTTAACCACTTCGATTAAAAAAGTAACGAGAAGTTGTAAATGAAGTGGATTAGTGATGTGAGAGTCATGGTTATAATTAGTGAGGATGAGAGGTGCAGGCACCCACCTACTCACTACACTTATCCCACCCACCCCTCCCTTCTTCCTCTTGAGACCCGACCCTTCCGTGCTTCTCCCTTCCCCACCTAACCAACCGTCTAACCCAGGGGTCACCAAACTACGGCCCGCGGGCCGGATCCCAAGTCCTTCCCCGGCTCGTGGTAGCTCCGCCTACGCTCTGACGTTACCAGAGCTTTCGTTCTGGCTTGCAAGTATTGAACAGAATGATTATGCGGCCCGCGCTCGTCATTCTTTCAGTTATCCGGCCCACTGTGAAAAAAGTTTGGTGACCCCTGGTCTAACCCATGGAGGTATAATACCTCCATGATCCAACCTCACTCTTCCTCCTTCTCTCCCTCTCGTACTCTTTCTTCTCTCCCTTTCCTACGCAGTTTATCCAAAATTTGCTAGCCCACACTGAGTAGTCTTCAATTAGAATACGACGTCCAATGTACAGTATATGAACCTCTGTCCTGCATGGCAGTGAACAGTGACATCATCCACAGGACTCTGACCTATATACACTGCTATTGAATATGATGTATTTCTTTGTGTACGAACCTCTGTCCTGCATGGCAGTGAACAGCGACATCAACCCACATGAATCTGGCCTATATATACTGTTAATGAATATGATCTATTCCTTTGTGTATGAACCTCTGTCCTGCGTGGCAGTGAGAAGTAATACCATCCTCAGTGTCAAGACCTGACCGAATTACTCAGAATAGGCAAACTGTACTACAAGCTTTGCAAATAAATTTGTTAAACTAAACTCCACCTTCCTTGCCTTACTCTTCTCCTACCTTCCTTCCTTCCTCCCTCTCTTCTTTACGCATCCTCCTTCCCTTCCTTACTCTCCCTCCCTTACACCACCCTCCCCCTTCCACCCCTTCTCCCTTCTAATCTCACTCGGTTAATCTTTGCCTCGACACACATTACGCAATCCAACCCTCGACTTTCAATAACCTCTTCAGTACTAGTGAGTACTTATATAACAGTTTATATATGACCAATTCTCCGACCTAAACTGTGAATTATTATTATTATTATTATTATTATTATATAATGACAAACAGCATTCAAGAAAATTGAGTGTGTATTTTCACGATACTAAGCAACAGTGTGATTTTATAGTCACCTTTAAGCGGTTAATTACAAGGATATTTAGCTAATACAGTTATGAGGAAAGTACTCTCCATCTTCTAATAGTAATTGTCATGAGAATGCGGTCGAGCTTCTATGGTATTTTGTATGGCATTAACGGCACTAAATTCGATTGGAGCAACGTCACTAATGGAGTTCCCCAAGGCTCAGTACTTGGGTCATTATTATTTATTAGATACATTAATGACATAGATCTCGGCGTAGACAGCAACTTAAGTAAATTTGCTGATGATACAAAAATAGGTCGTGTAATTAAATCTGAAAAGGACTCCGCAAGACTACAGGAAGATCTAAAAAAAATTCGAATGGTTTGAAAAATGGCAGATGAAATTCAATGTGGACAAATGTAAAGTAATCAGTATAGGAGATGTAAACAGGGAAACCAGATACCAGATGAACAACGATGTTATTGAGAAATCCGACTGCTAGAAGGATTTAGGAGTAATGATAAGTAGGAATCTTAGGCCAAGTAAACAATGTGTATTTGCTCGAAAAAAAAGGCTAATAAAGTACTTGGGTTCATACAAAGGAGTGTTAGTTACAAAACTAGCGAGGTCATCCTAAAACTATATATTGAGCTTGAGGGACCTCACTTGGATTACGCAGTTCAGTTCTGGTCACCGTATTACAGAATGGATATAGAATCCTTGGAAAGAATTCAGAGGAGAATAGCAAGACTAATCCCGGGCATTAGGAACCTAGAGTACAGAGACAGGTTAAAACATCATAATTTGCACTCCCCCGAGAGACGTAGAGTGAGGGGCGATATGATAGAGGTGTATAAATGGAAGTCAGGGTTGAACAAAGGGGGCATTACAAAAATACTCAAACTATCCAACCAGGAACGAACTCGTAACAATGGTTTTAAATTAGACAAATGTAGATTTAAGCGCGAAATAGGGAAATATTGGTTTGGAAATAGAGTAGTGGATGAGTGGAACAAGTTACCAAATATCATCATTAACTCGAATACGCTGGATAACTTCAAACATAGGCAAGTTGGATATATGAGCAATAGGGGTTGGGTGTAAATAGAACTGCCCAGTATGGGCCAATAGGCCCGCTGCAGTTTCCTCCATTCTTATGTAGTCTAATACACCCTCCAGGTCAAACACCCGCCAAGGTTAGGTTGTGTAACACATCTTGGCGCTATGCTATAGTTAGGCTATGGCCGGCGGAGCGATGGTAAGAGGTCTGTCGAAATAGCAGGAGCACACCCGTCAGAGGACACCTGCTATAAAGGACACGCCCATGCGACTGCTGGGACATGACCTTTTAACCCCAAAGATTATAATTATGCGTTCAGAAACTCATCTATATAGCCTAGTCCTGTAGCCGCATATAAGTAGGTATGTGCTTAATCCTTATATAATTATGTGCAGTATCTTCTTATATGGCAGCTATGAACTTTAACCTTAACCTGTGACAATGACCTTGAACAATGACGTTGACCACTATGAGACGTTGATTTGTGGTATGTAACGGAGTTGTGACCTTTGCTTAATACGGTCACCTTAATTGTGACCTCTTAACACGAAAACAAACAGATTTCTAAAAACAAAATAATAATCCATTATATTATGCTTGAAGAATTACTCCTCGACCCCCCATCGCAATGTGACCATTAGAGGTGGTAATAAATGGGATCTTGAAGAGGTGACGAAGTGGAAGGAGGAAGGGGAGGATTAGAAGTCACACAAAGGCATCACAAATGTAGAAGGGAAGTGGGGTCTGTTTACCTCCATAAGTCCACCTGGGGTAGATATAACAAAAGAACATAAGAAAATAAGGAGTCTGCAATAGGCCGATTGGCCTGTGCATGGCAGCTCCTGTCGAGAGTTACTACCACTCTATCATCCATGAATCTATCTAGCCTCCTTTTGAAACTTTCCAGAGTTCCCGCACTTACTACAAAGTTGCTAAGCTTGTTCCACTCGTCCACCACCCTATTTGTGAACCAGTTTCTTCCTATCTCCCTCCTAAACCTAAACTTATCCAACTTGAATCTGTTGCTCCGAGTCCTATCCTGCTCGGATATTATAAGAACTTTATCTATATCCCCTTTATTGATTCCTTTCACCCACTTAAATACTTCTATCATATCTCCCCGCACTCTTCGTCTTTCTAGGGAATGCAAGTTAAGTTTCTTTAACCTATCCTGATATGGAAGGTTTTTAAGTATTACAGTATTACGATTATTATGATTGGTTCAAATTATTATTATTAACATGGCTGGTTATAATTATTATTATTAATTACTATTACTCTTCCAACACTGGGTTCATATTTGAAAAACACTTTAAAATCTTCAAAGAAATACTCCAAATTACCGGCGTTCAGACGAGAGTATGTGGAGGGGGAGGGTGAAAGGGCTCCCCTATGAGGCTATACAGCCTAATACAGGTATTACTTTAACGCCGATAATGTTCAGATATAGTTACATTAAAAACCGTCTTAAGTTTACAGGTAACGATAGTAAAGGCGATGAAATAAGTACCATTCGTCATTTTTGTTATCAGCAATAGGCTAAACGCGCACTCATAATAACATGGCAGTACGTATACAGCAGAGAAGCTGGGCCCTTTTGATAAACAGTGTTGCCGGAGTTATTTTTATTTATTAGAAATTAGTAATCGCGTCTTGTGAGATGCAGCGTATCATTCTGAACGGGTCCTAAGCGCACTCTATCATGTGAACATGTTCTGATGCACACGCTGCATCCAGACATGCGAATATGTTAACGCTACTGGTACGAAACGGAACGGTTGGCAGCCCTGACAAGCGAAGCCTCCCCAGCATGACGCATGTGTGAACTTCCCGCCAGATTCTGGCCAATCACAACTTCTGTTCCCTGACGTCATAAGCATTTTCTCGACAACGATTGGCCAACGAATGTTACAGGCAGACCTTCTAGAACATTCCCAGCTCGTCCAGAGGTCCTTCTCGATTGACGATATATCCGGAGGTCGTCAGCCGGTACCTTCATACCAGCCGTGACTTGGAGAGAGAGCAGTTATACGAACGTGTGCTCCTGAGGATTATTGTGTATATATATAAAAAATAGTAAGTATTTTTGTCTTAATCTGTGAGCTGAGTAGTCGCCATACGTAGCTATAAGAATTTTTTTTCTTTGTTTAGTGAGTGTTAGTGAAGGCAAGCTAGCCGGTTAGGTAACGTTGCAGTGGGTGTTACCATTGCCATGTATTGATCCATTTTAGCACTCCTCTAGTTAAAATAGTTGTAGCTCGCTGTGTGTAGTAGAAGTAATGGTGTAACTAAATGAAGGAGTATATGATAGGAGAAACCGCTAAACTTAAATTACAGTAAGTGTGGTTGGTAGTACCCTGCAGTGTGCTTTGACGAACAATGGTGTAACGGAATTGGACAAAGAAAGGACCCCATAATGTAACTTGTTATGGCCTAATTTTGCACCAGGTATAATTTGTTATAGTAAATAATCATGGGAGTACATTTGTTAATTCACTTTGCCAATATTGAACTGAAACATTGTGGTGTAAGTACTGTATAGGAAGCGTGTTATGTATTGTTAGTAATACGTTTTAGGTCTGGGATAATGGGATAATATTAAAAGATACATTTTCATCAGTTATTCAGTAAAGTGACTAAATTAAGACCTAAATTAAGACCGCTATAATTAAAACTTAATTTTTATTTTATTGGGTGTAAGATTAGTAATCAACTGGCAGAATTGAAAGCAGGCTAGTTATATTGACTTGGTTAACCTGGGTTATTCACCGTAATAATAAATTAATATTTTCTCTTGCACCCCATAATTGCCCCGATAAAGACATGTAAATTGGGGGCATGTTCCTAATTACTGTACAATATACAAGTAAAATACGGATTTTTATAACATTCTTAGACCAATGATTTTGGTTTTACTGTAAACTTTGATGTTAAATTTATCGTTCTTTTCATGTGAAAGGGCGTCACGGGTTCCATGCTATATTTAGAACCCCACGTGGTGTCTAGAGGGTGCGTTAAGTCAATGATTCAAATTTGACCTGGTAATAAGATAGACATTTAAAGTACACTTGTGCATTGTCTTCCCCCATAAACGTCGACATTTACGTAAATATTGTCTTCGTGAAAGCTGCCGAGATGCTGAAAACTGAATATTTGTTTAATCCTGGTTCCTGTATACTGATGATCGGTTTCTATGTAAAGTGTCGAGGCTGCCACTGGGAAGGAATCGATACATTTGACGGCTGATACTGCGTACGAAACTGCCGTGATCTAAAAGAATAGAATTGTTAAATATTTATTAAACTTTGTGGTTAAGTATTTATAATTTTTGTGGTTTATTAATTTTGTTTTAATATAGGGAAATTGTGCCTACGTAAAATGAATCTACTGTAGAAAATGGGAGAACTTAAATGTTTTTTTATTCATATTTGGTCAGCTGTTTGTTACGGTGATAGTTAGAAATGTATTTTTTAAAGTATTTTATTTGGTTGAAAGTATTTAGCATTTGATTATAAATAGTACATTAAACGTCTGTGAAGGTACGTACAGTAGAAGTCACCCAAATATATGAAGTGGAACCATATGCAGCTTTAAAAGTCTGACCACACGAAGGACTACATTTTTGTGTTTGACAGGGTGTAAAATTAACTTGTACTACCATGTATAGGAATTTGTTCATTTTACCGCCACCACTCGCCGTCAAGCACTGTAGTGTGGTGTCCACTTCATTTTTTAATCTGGACTAATTTTCAGTACCAGATTAGTATAAACTGAGGGGGAAAAACACTGGCTTTAAAAATACACATGCGATAGTCATGATAAAGGAAACCCGAGGCGAGTTGGAATATTTTAAGTGCAAACAGTAATGTGCGGTTTTACTTTATTTTTATTTTATTCACTTCAATTTTATTTTACTCATTTACTTATTTTTTTAGGAATATAATTAATTTTATTTGAACAATAGTTTTATTTATTTTTTAATTTAAAATTTTTGATGTTTGCGTGTGTTCATTAACTGTTGGTAATAATTTGCGCAAACTCTAGTAGTGTCACTGTGTTGGTATAATTTGCAGGTGACTGTACACCCACTAAAAATTATTCGGCGCTCGTGTCATATTGCATCACGCCGTTAGGGTGCCGATAATTTTTTAGTGGGTGTACATTAATGTTGTACACCGAACATTACTGTACACCCAATAAAAATTATTCGGCATGATACAATATGACATGGGTGTTGAATAATTTTTTAGTGGGTGTACATGTGCACATTGTGAATACGTGTTTGCCCATTCCTTGTACCTGTCAGGTACTGTCTCCCTCCTAATTTACGCCAGCAAGTTTGTCCCCCTTATTTTATGCCAGCAAAGTATGTAATTTTGCCATTTTTCATGCTCCAAGTAAGTCCCTTCCCCTAATTTTAGGCCTATCAAGTAGGTCCCTGTTTCACCTTCCCCCTTTCAATTTATCTGCCAAGTAGCTCCCTCCCCTACTTCACTTTAGGCACAGGATACAGCAGCCGGATGAGAAATGTCAATGTCTTGGTATGGCAGCCGTATGCACGTGGTTGGTGGGTAGATTATACAATGATAGTGACTATGATAGCTTTTCTTAATAGCCTAACCAATAGCTTTTCTTAATAGCCTAACCAATGTCAACAGTCTGCCAATAAGGCTGCCATACCTATTATCCAGTGATTTTTTTTTTTTTATTCTTAAGGCTGCCATACCTGCATCTGTTCAATTTGTTAGCCTAATATGACCTTTCCCCTCTTGATTTATGTGTCAAGTTGGACTAACCCAATCCCCCTTTATGCCTGTCATTCTGGACCTTCCCTTCCCAATTACAATTTGTATGGTAATTAAATTATGGTAAAAAGTTTACGGAAATCCGATTGTTTTCCCAAATGTTGTGCAGTTGAAGATTATCCAAAAGTTCCCCAAATAAATCTTTAATTTGTTACATTAGGAATAACTTTATAAAGTTTAGGTGAAGTTTCAAAACTAATTTAAAATTTATTTTCCAGGCAATATGGCAAAAACGACTGCAGTTGGAATTGATTTGGGCACCACCTATTCCTGTGTAGGAGTGTTCCAGCATGGGAAGGTGGAAATCATCGCCAATGATCAGGGTAATCGCACTACCCCTTCCTATGTGGCCTTCACAGACACAGAGCGTCTCATTGGAGATGCTGCCAAGAACCAGGTGGCCATGAACCCTAACAACACAGTCTTCGACGCAAAACGTCTTATTGGCAGAAAGTTCGATGATCACAATGTGCAGAGCGACATGAAACATTGGCCCTTTGAAGTGATCAACGAGAACACAAAACCAAAGATTCAAGTAGAGTATAAGGGAGACAAGAAAACTTTCTATCCTGAAGAAATTTCCTCAATGGTGCTTATCAAGATGAAAGAAACGGCTGAAGCATACCTCGGTACGACAGTGAAGGATGCTGTAGTTACTGTTCCTGCATATTTTAATGATTCTCAGCGCCAGGCAACCAAGGACGCTGGCACCATCTCCGGTCTAAACGTGCTGCGTATCATCAATGAACCCACCGCCGCTGCCATCGCTTACGGTCTAGACAAAAAAGTAGGCGGTGAGCGTAATGTCCTCATCTTCGATCTTGGCGGTGGGACCTTCGACGTTTCCATCCTGACCATCGAGGATGGAATCTTTGAAGTAAAATCTACTGCAGGTGATACACATTTAGGTGGCGAAGATTTCGACAACCGTATGGTTAATCACTTCCTACAAGAGTTCAAGCGAAAGTACAAAAAGGATCCCCAAGAAAACAAACGTGCCCTTCGTCGTCTCCGTACTGCCTGTGAGCGTGCGAAGCGTACTCTATCATCCTCAACTCAGGCCAGTGTAGAAATAGATTCCTTGTTTGAGGGCATCGACTTCTACACTTCTGTTACTCGTGCCCGTTTCGAAGAATTGTGCGCCGATTTATTCCGTGGAACACTAGAACCTGTGGAGAAAGCTCTTCGTGATGCCAAGATGGACAAGGCCCAGATCCACGACATCGTTCTGGTTGGAGGTTCTACCCGTATCCCCAAGATCCAGAAGCTATTGCAAGACTTCTTCAATGGCAAGGAATTGAACAAGTCTATCAATCCTGATGAAGCTGTGGCTTATGGTGCTGCTGTCCAGGCTGCCATCTTGTGTGGTGACAAGTCGGAAGCTGTGCAAGACTTGTTGCTGCTCGACGTAACTCCCCTCTCCTTGGGTATTGAAACTGCAGGTGGAGTGATGACTGCCCTCATCAAGCGTAACACCACTATTCCCACTAAGCAAACACAAACTTTCACTACCTACTCTGACAACCAACCAGGTGTACTTATTCAAGTTTACGAGGGTGAGCGTGCAATGACGAAGGACAACAATCTTCTTGGAAAGTTCGAGTTGACTGGCATCCCACCTGCACCACGAGGAGTACCACAGATTGAGGTGACCTTCGATATTGATGCCAACGGTATCCTGAATGTGTCTGCAGTAGACAAGAGTACCGGTAAGGAAAACAAGATAACAATCACCAACGACAAGGGCCGCCTCAGCAAAGAGGAAATCGAACGTATGGTCCAAGATGCGGAGAAGTACAAGGCCGAGGATGAGAAGCAAAGGGATCGCATCTCTGCCAAGAATTCTTTGGAGTCTTATTGTTTCAATATGAAGTCAACAGTGGAAGAAGACAAGTTCAAGGATAAAGTTTCAGAAGAGGACCGTAACAAGATCCTAGAAGCTTGTAATGATGCAATCAAATGGCTAGATGCAAACCAGCTAGGCGAGAAGGAGGAATATGAACACAAGCAGAAGGAAATTGAGCAGATCTGCAACCCCATCATTACCAAGATGTACCAAGCGGCTGGAGGTGCTCCTCCCGGAGGCATGCCAGGTGGTATGCCTGGAGGCTTCCCTGGTGCTCCTGGAGGTGCCCCTGGTGCTGCCCCTGGAGGTGGTGGCTCGTCTGGCCCAACCATCGAGGAAGTCGATTAAACTCCTGCCATTTAGTCCATACCATAATCTTTGTCCACCGAAATCTCTGCCTACACTAGCCTGTGCATTCCATATCACAGCAAAATTGTATGGTGTCCTGTGACCATGTAAGGATATCTTTTTATTATTTTTCATTTAAGGATATCTTGTATTTTTCATTTTTTTGTAGAACCATTCCATCTATCATGAAAGTAAAAAGTGAGAACATACTGTTTTGTTTCTATTCCCCTATTTTAATGAAAATGTTAAGCAAATCTTAATTACTGTACATGATAAAAGTAGTGTACCGTGTTATTCAATGAATTACAAAGTTAAGATTTTTGGATCTTTCAAAAACTTTATATACTTTAAAACTTTAAATGTATAATTAAATTTGACCGGGGTGAAAAGATAAAGCTGAAGCCAGAAGTGGTTAGAGGTAGTTAATAAGAACATTCCATGTGAACAAATAGGCGCATGTTATTTTAAAAGTTTATTGAGATCGAGCCAATGGGAAGTTGCAAGTGCAAATGACGGGGAAACCAGGATTCTAAATATTGTATGAAGGACTCCAATAACACTAGAAAATAATGACCAGATAAACCATCCAAATCTAGCCGCCTCATTCGATGACAATTAATTTGAAAGTATGTGGTAGGTTAGTTTGTGTATTCGAGCAGTCATATAACCAAGTGTCTCGACCTGTACATATTCACTACACTTTCAGGGTATGAATACAAACTGTGGATGCATTATTATTTATCATTACTTAATTATAATTTTCTGCTGAAAATCCTTAATTGGTCTGATCTTAACTGCCCAAAACTATCTTTAGAGGATGTAAACTTGCTGTTAGGCACTTGTTTTAGATGACTTTGAAGCAAAATGATTGTATTTCTATTTTTCATATATGCATTTATAGACGGAGGTTATGGCACCAAATTTGTTTATAAACTAATAACAGAGAAAACCCCGTTCTTGTACTATTGTACTTGATAAGTAATAGAAGTTAAGATATCTTGTCTTCACCATTAATCTTTAAATGAAAGTGACAGAACAAGGCTTTTATGATTACACAAGTTTTTTCTTAACAAATACGACTGAACAGTTTTCATGTATTTTTAAACAAGGTAAAGAAAAAGATCCTTAATTTCTAACAATCTGCAGAAGTTCAAGGTTGTCTCGATAATCAAGACCAGAACAAAGTTTTGTTGATAATTCTCAACAAATAATAATGAAGGTAGTGAAGGATTTGTTTATATCTACAGTATTTTGGCATGATAGGGCAGCAGTGAATAAAGAGTTTAATTTCCAAACTGAACACTGTGAAGTAACTTGTGTGTGTGCTTCACAACTACCTTCTTAAGGGCGGCAGTAAAGAGGTGTTAGGGAACTGTCCTGCATTACGGAAGAACTTGTTGGTTATCGTTTCAGCGAGTAGGGTGAAGGCGGCGGCGACATAACCTAGTATCAGTAAGTAAAAGGCTCCCTGCAGCTGGCCGAGCCCTAACACCACCCGCTCAGACACCTGGAATACCAAACAATATCTGTAGTGGAGGCATAAGGGGTAGACCTTTGCGTGGTTGGACAGTGTTTGCAGACTGCTGTGATACTCAGGGTCATGTAGTGGCAAGAACATGTCATGAAAACAATCATCATAACAGGCTTCACTGCTCTTGAGCTGTTAACTTGCAAAACTAGGATAACCTTGTCCAGTGGAAAAACTAATTAGTGACATTTCGCAAAAAAAAAAAAAAATTACAAATTTAGATTTACAAGGTAGTGCGATAAGCTACCCATTTGGGTCAATTAATCCTTGTTACACATCGGTGATTTCCTGTATTTCAATACTATAATCTAGAGAATGATTGAAAAAGTTACATTAGTTTCCCATAACCGTATCAAGATATGGTGTAAGCTACTAGGCTGCTCATCAACTTGTGTCATAGAACTGAGCAAACACTCCTAGAGCCTTCATCCACAACACGAGGTAAATGGTATAAATGCGTGTAAACCTATGGAAAAAAAATTAACTTTCGTGCACTAACAAGCGAAATCCCGTGGAGCGTGGGGTCTGAGACCCACATTACCTATCTAGGGCTAGAAAGCAATCGTAAATAATAAGTAAGGTGAGTTACTAGGGCTTCCCTTTAGTGAGGACCAACTAAGTGGAAAGGAAGAAACGTGTCTCACCTGAGCTGCTGTGTCCTCCATGGAGTTGTTCTTTCGTGCCTCCCTAGACGACGTGAGGATCAGTTCGTTCATCCAGTAGTTAATGAGACCGCCCTGCAGCAGGCGTTGTTTCACTGCGTCAATACGTTCGCGGAACGGCGCGCCCTTCCTGTCACATACACACATGTTTTTATCTCCCTTCGCAAGCTTTATGCTAACAGCTTCAGTTTACTCTGTCGTGATACGTAAATAATGAATTGAGAAGTGAAAGTGGGTACCATAAGCAGACTGCCCTTTAGCTTAAATTCAATTAGGCTTAGGTTAAGTTTGGGTTATGCTGTCTGCATTTTTTTTAGCTTAGTTTACTGTACGTGGGATTACATATGTTGTACGAACTATAACCTGTGTAAGAGACAAACCTGAATCCCCAGCCGTAGCCGCCGTAATTGATGTACTCTGAGCGCCCGGTGTACGTGGGCGTATAGCCGCGGGCATTGGTGTAGCTAGAAGCGATGATGGTTCGAATGTAGTATTTCCAGGTAAGGAAGGCGTGGCGGCCCTGCAGGACAAGCGCCAGGTGTTCCTCAGCATCCAACACCTTCATGGAACAATACAAAACTTGAGCGTTTGGCGACCAACACAAAAGCAATGAAAAACCCGCTCCAGGAATTGGAAAATGTACCATGCTGGAAGATATCACGAACAGCATGGCTCTAAACTGTATGACATAAACATATATGGGTATGGTTTTCTCGGGGTGGTCGTACACATACAGTGTGCGGATTCAAGGTCTATATGATCGATCCTGTATAGATCTAGCGCGGAATAACAGCACCAACGTTGAGAACAACTTACAGTACAAGTATTTATTTACTAACATTTCAACAATAATCTGACCAAAAGAAATACACGATAGAACACACACATACAAACACACACACACACACACACATATATATATATATATATATATATATATATATATATATATATATATATATATATATATATATATATATATATATATGTGTGTGTGTGTGTGTGTGTGTGTTCTATCGTGTATTTTTTTTTTCGTACAATTAAACTATATCCACCAATCATATTCTTAAAATACACCTCATTTTGATGTAATAAGAATACGTATTTCTTTACTGACACTTCATCTTCAGCCCTTCTCTACAGTACAGTAAAAGGCATCCTAATATTAAAATGATGTGGTCTGGTTAGGTAAAATACGGCTGAGTAAAGTTTGGGTTAGATTAGGTTTAGTGTAGGTTGGGATGGTTTAGGTAGGGTGTATTAGGTCAAAGTAAATAAACTTTTCACTTTGGATTAGGTTAGGTTAAATCTGCTCCACCTAAGGCTGCGTCACACTAGCATTTCTATAGTCAACTTTTTTCACGAATCGTCGGCGTGTCGTTGGCTGTTTGTCAAACGGTACAGACCGTCTGCACTGACAACTCATACGACAACTTCGGCAACTTACCGGCGTCAACTCAAGATCTATAATTGATACTACTAATTTCTACGTAAAATATAAAGCGAAAATTATTATGAAATAATTATTACTCTTCTCGCCAAGATTATTCATTATTATGTTTAATTTCTTGATTTTAAAAAGGTAAGAAAATGTCATTTGTTGTTTACATTTTGACCACGCGGAAATAACATGACGGAGCCAACTGGTAAAATAATTTCCCAAGTATGGACACGCCTCTCCGAGGGGTTCTTGGTGGACCAGATAATGTAGCGCCGCTGTCTCTGGGATCACCAGGACTCTTCATATACCAAAGAAGGCTGCACTTTTTTCGTCAGTTAGATCCATCTTGTTTGTTGACAGTTGTCGAACGAGGGAAACTGGCGAGTTGGTTCTAAACGGATGTGTGACGATGCACAACAAAAAGTTTGACGATTTTCTGAAAGTTGACAAAAAATATTGACGAAAGAATGCCAGTGTGATACAGCCTTTAGTGACCACTTACTTCAATCCGTTGGTTGACTTTTTGGACAGTGGGCACGGAGCTCTCCTTGAACCACTGCCAACCCACACCATACGTGGGCTCCATACCCCATGTCCACCCGTCCTCCTCCAGCAACTGATCCAAAGTGTCGATAGTGGGAGACTTGTCGGGTACAGAGAGGTGGGCGATCAACGAGGAGCGGTAGGTTGCTGTGATCAACATGCAGAACACCCACCACCACCCCACCAGCACCTGTACTACCACACCGAGGATGATACATTGTTTAAGTGTACACCAACGCTACCTATCACATGATCCATGATCTTATTTTGTCTATATTTTGAAAAACTTAATAGAGCATCATTCTTTACTGTAATGTGTACGCCTTTGCAAATAACTTGATCATTATTATTTATTTTCAGGAGTAAATTGCGTATTGCTAATACAGCGTACAGTATTATAGACACTAACGAATACTGACAAAGTGTTACTAGGCTATAGGCTCATGGCAGTTTTTATTTGTCTTTTGAGTTATTAAACATTTTAAAAAAAGATCCTGTTTACATAATCAACATAATAAACCCTATTATCCAAAAGAAGAGTGTGTAATAATAGACAATGATATGGTTCTCCCAGATAGACCCATAGAATAGAATAAACTAAAGAAGATTATGTAAGAGAAACTGAAAGAAATAAGTATTTTGAGAACTTGTATTAAAATAAAACTAAGAAAAGAAAAACTTAGATACAAGATATAAAGAAAGAAAAGATAGAATTAGAAAGAAGTCAATTTGACAAATAATAAATATAAAGACCATACTGGATGCTAACCCCAGAGATTAAAAATTCCTCTTATACAGCATCTGATTACATTTACAGAGAGATTATCGAAGACGCTAACTAACCTTCTCTTTATGATTATCTTTTTTTATCTCATTCCCCACTTCCCTTCCTTTGGATATACACGACTCTCAGGTATACATCTCCATTAACGTCGTTAGGTGAGACGAGATTCGCTTACCTTTTCGCCTTCTCTTTCCCTAACTTGTTTTCCTCCTTCCCTCTATCCTTTTCTCTCACCTTTTTTCCTCCCCTTCTTCCTCCTACGTACCTGACTAGTGACGTTGGCAGGCAGTACATTTGGGGGATCCTCCAACAGTATGCCCCACGACATCATGAGAGCAGAGCTGACCCTCATTTCCTGCCCTCCAGAAATCCACGCCCACGCCCTCTGCAGCGCCCACATGGTCAGGCCCACCACCATGCTTAGTATCAGGATGGCCGCCCACAACACGCCTGTCGGGTAAAAATTTTTTTTATCATTTACAGGAATATTTCACCGCCACCTACCTGTATGTTTTAGAATTACTAAAATTTGCTTAGAATTGTAATTTTTAAGTATATCTCAAGCATAATAATAACTCGATTGTTAAAATACACGATTTACATTTATAAAATGTATTGATTTTATATCAGACGACACGAATCAAACCAAACTTAACAAATTTTACACTTGATAAAATAATTGGTTCGTGATACCTTTCAAACAAGCTTTGTATTTCTTGTCATACATGTTTCTATTGTTGATTATGTCTTAATCTAACTTAACATCTTCCATAGACATTCACGTTGTTTGTGAATCTTTCTCCTGAGTTACAGTATATACGGTACGTGTTATCAGAGTGACTCACTTGGGAAGGGCCTGACGAGGGCAAAGATCTGCGGCAGAGGTCCAGATTTAGAGGTGACGATGACCAGGGGCTCGGACACGTACACCCGTGAGTAGTCGACGGCGGCCATGCGGGAGTGTAGCCAGGAGAGTAACATGGAGAAGTCTGCCTGGTGGTGCTGGAGGGTACCCACAGTGCCCGTCCAGTTACCATCTGCCTGAGACACTCCCCACTGGTCGTCCCATGGCGTACGCACCTCATACCTGTGAAAATAAACATCTGATAGTTTTCTTGGCTTTCCTTGGTCCAACTGCTTTACTGTTTACGACTGTTTGTGTGCCTGTACTGTCTAGGTATACGGATTATGTACACTATACCTACGTTGTCTACATACATAATGAACCATTTATATACTCTCTCTCTCTCTCTCTCTCTCTCTCTCTCTCTCTCTCTCTCTCTCTCTCTCTCTCTCTCTCTATATATATATATATATATATATATATATATATATATATATATATATATAGAGAGAGAGAGAGAGAGAGAGAGAGAGAGAGAGGGGGTGGGGAAACGGGGTGGGGGTGGGGGACTCACGTAAAGTTGAGGACCCTGGAGATAGCGGTCAGCATGCGGTAATCCAGGGAGTCGGTAAGGGTGACCGTGGTGGCAGAGGCGTTAGAGTCTCGAGTGAAGCCCAAGAAAGGGAACCAGTCCATGGAAACGATTCTGAACTTGTGGCCGTGGAAATTCTCGAACTGGTCTGTGTGGGTTGGAGGTTAAGGTTAGGCGAAATAAATTGGATTAATTAAGTTTTTGGTTAGGTTAGGTTAGCGTTTGGGTGTTTAATCAGCAGGTGAAATAAATTGGGTTGAATAAGTTTCAGGTGGTGGGCGTAAAGGTTGACCAGGGAATAAAACATGGTGGGCGTAGTGAAGATAAAGACTGACCAGAGAACAAGACATGGTGGGCGTGGTGAGTGTAAAGACTAAACCACAGAACAAGAAGTGGTGGGCGTGGTGGGCGTAAAGACTAACGAGAGAACAAGACGTGGTGGGAGTAAAGACTAACGAGTGAACAAGACGTGGTGGGCGTAAAGACTAACCAGGGAATAAGACATGGTGGGCGTGGTAGGGAGAGTGTAACTTCCAGAGATCGAGGAGGAAGACATCAGGCTTGCCTTGGTTACAATACAGACAGCGCCAGTACACCTCCACATCCCCACAGAGCATCGAACCTGTGTACTCAGCGAGAAATATGTCGGTTAAGTTATATGTTTGGCCATCCAGTAATACGGCTGTATGTTGGAGAGAGAGAGAGAGAGAGAGAGAGAAGCATGCCAGATGGGTTTTTCAGATAGAAATAGGTAAATAGATAGATGAATAGGTAAACAGATGACTGGATAGATGATAGATAAAGATACACAAATAGACAGATACAGTCGAACGCGCGGAAATATTTGGGGTTTCATATATTATCGCAAAAGATAAACGGTAATATCATATCTTGAGTGTGAGAAAGTTTGTTGACATACTGTGTGTTGTGTATTGGAGTATTAGAATAATCTCTCTCTCTCTCTCTCTCTCTCTCTCTCTCTCTACCCGGTCTTTTCTAACTCTACTCACTATTCTTCCTCTCTCTACCCACTCTCTCTCTGTCTCCTCCTTCTGAGCAGTTTTCCTCACGCAGATGAACCTCCCCCACACCCTGGAGTGTCGTGGGGGCGCGGGACTGGAGGATATCGAGTTGAGGAGCGAGGTAGAGGGCGTGGGCGGTATTGCGGAAGGCGTGGTGGTTGAGGAAGGCGTGAGGATGGGCGCGGGGACCCACCATTACCATCTTGGTCCGTGGCCACAAGTACGTATGGATATCTTCAAGGAACCTATGTGTGTGTGTGAGAGAGAGAGAGAGAGAGAGAGAGAGAGAGAGAGAGAGAGAGAGATTAGGTTCTAACTTCAGCTTGGTCGTGCATTATAACTACTAAAGAACCACGTAACATACTCGTCAGTTCAGTTTCTCTTTAAAAGAACCCCTCATAAGGTTCTTCGCCTTAGCTAAACGAGTAGACCCACCCAAGTCCTCCCCCTCCACTCTTTAATCCCTCAGAAAAACCATTCAAGAACCGTATAAGAACTTCCTTGTCTCACTTGGTCACAAAACCCGAATGAACCACAATACAAGAACCACCGAAGTGACACATAACTTCCTCACCTAACTTCGTTAAGAGAACCCCTGATGAATCACTGAATCAGTTCCTCGTCTCAATTTAATCCCCGTGGTTTAAACAGCATCATTAACAAACCACACAACTCGTTAACGGACCCCCCCTCCCTCCCCGACATAAACCTTTTATTTCACTACCTTGTAAAAGCAGAATAAAATCCTTAAGTAACCCGCATAGAACCTCAATTATCTAACCTAACATCACCTAACTTAACCTAACATCACCTAACTTAACCTAACATCACCTAACTTAACCTAACATCACCTAACTTAATCTAACCTCACCTAACTTAACCTAACATCACCTAACTTAACCTAACATCACCTAACTTAACCTAACATCACCTAACTTAATCTAACCTCACCTAACTTAACCTAACATCACCTAACTTAACCTAACATCACCTAACTTAACCTAACATCACCTAACTTAATCTAACCTCACCTAACTTAACTTAACATCACCTAACTTAACCTAACATCACCTAACTTAACCTAACCTCACCTAACTTAACCTAACATCACCTAACTTAACCTAACATCACCTAACTTAATCTAACCTCACCTAACTTAACTTAACATCACCTAACTTAACCTAACTTAACCTAACATCACCTAACTTAACCTAACCTCACCTAAGTAGATCGCTGTTCTCATTTGCCATAGAGTTTGAAGAGATGAGGTCCAGTAGGTACACCCGACATGAGAATCTGCCATCACCCTTCCGAAGATGGTGAAGAAGAGGTGAGTGTCTCCCAGGTGTGGTCAGGGACACGTCTACCAATACCCCGGGCAGGTAACCTTTAGCTAGCGACCTGTTGAGGATGGGAAGGAGGGGTTGAGGCTGTGAGAGAGAGAGAGAGAGAGAGAGAGAGAGAGAGAGAGAGAGAGAGAGAGAGAGAGAGAGAGAGAGAGAGAGAGAGATTAACGAAAACATACAGTAAGGATGAAGGAAAAGGTACATCTGATGATAATTGAGAAAAAAATATGAGAAAAGGTAAAAGCAAGCTCAGGAAGACAAACGAGTACTTATCTGACGATGAGGTAAAGACGTTCAAGACGAGGACAAAAGACGAAGAAGATTAATGACCTACCTGACGATGGGGGTGAAGACGTTGCTGGTTTGATGTACCCCGGCAGTAATCACCACCAGATAACAGCCGTCCAGTTCCTGTCCCACCACCTTAGCCAGAAGGTTGCCCAGGGCGGCGGTGTTTTCCTCTGGCAGTGTGGAGCTAACAGGATTCTGCAGGCTCCTGGCGCGGCCCTCGACGATAAAGACACTCATCACCAGCACCAACAAGTTCCATCTGATACAGGGAGCCATCGCCACTCTCCTCTACCGGTTCCTGCGATATAAAGTACGAATGATGATCTGTTTGTCCAGACGAGACTAACACTGGCGCTAGTGTACTCTGGAGACCTGTTTATTCCAAGCCTGGTGGGCTGTGTAAAGTGAGGTATACTCATTATGAAGATACTGTATAGTGAGACAAGACAGTAGGAGGGATTGCAAAGTGAAGAAATGTAGTGGTTCGCCCTCTTTTACCTCCTCCTAAATTTCTTCAATTTCCGAACTATAACTTCCTTCCCCCACCTCTAATCTTCCTTCATTCCTCCTTTCTCTACAAAAAAAAAAAAAAAGCTGAGACTCACTCTGGGAAGGAGAGAGGTCTCCCCCCCCCCGCCATCCCCCTATAGAGACTCTGGACGAAGTGTGACTCCAACTGGGTATCACTGTGGCTGGAGTGAGTCATGAGATGTCTACTGCTTGTGTGAGACAGTTTTATATGCATTTTCAGGGTCACCACACGAGCGAGGGAAGCTATGGAACTATTCAACTACTTACTGCTATATGTGTGTTGTTCCTCTGGATTGGACAGCTTTGGTCTGACAGACAATCAATACAACTGGAAACCCTGGAACGAACCAGCTACCATTATGGTACCATTATTACCTAAGTGAAGTATCCTTTTACATACCACAATTATCTTGGTGGTGTAATCGCAAGGTACTGTAGAATATCCTGAGTCAAGTGAGGATCCTGATGAAGTGTCAGGTGCTGTGAGTGTTCCTCAACAACTGCCTGCCTCTGTCCGTCAGGTCCCTGTTGCCGCTATCCTCTTTGAAGTGTCACTTACCGACCCGCGCACTATCATTTTATGCCACACGTGTCGTAAATCACGCCCACCGAGCTTGTTCAAACCACGCACATACAGCTACGCAAGTTTAAACCACGCCTACCTATTTGGTCCCTTCACACCTGGTCGTACAGTCCACTAACGCAGCCAATGACGAATTCATGGTCACCCTTTCTCAAATAAAAATACATAATTTTTTCTTTAAGTCTCTCAGTGCGATGAAAAATGGAGAGAAGACATATTTTATGAGTGATAGAAGAAAATGGGAATATTATAGTGTGAATGATGACGGTGTTAACCCGAAGAAAAGGTGGATCACTTGACGAATAAACACCCCCAACATATTTCACCTTAAGATTAACCACCCTAAACCTAACCTAACCAAACTTTATCTAACGTAATTTAACCTAACTTAGCCTAACCTATCTAAATTTAACCTAACCTGACCTAACCCTGAAGATTAACTATCCTAACATCTACCTGGGACAGTGGGGTTAGGTTATGGTCGCGTTAGAGGAGTTAGTCCTCAAGTGCATTAAGCTGAAGCTGTGAATCTTCAGGTGATATCAGTGATGACTCAATGGATAACCCTGAGAAGTTCCCTACCTCACCATATTGCTCTTTCGCCTCGTTGAGAATGATGAACGCTTTAGGAATTTTCGAAAAAAATAATGAATACATGAAGATTAGCCCCCGGCTTATTTCACCTGCTAATTAAACATCCTAACGCTACCTGGGGGTTAGGTTACGATGGTGTTTTCATCAGTGGTTGTATGATTCGGTGGGTAAGAAGCTGTATCCTGATAACGCGTAAAGCACCATCTAGCTAGAAACACATCAAGTAGACGCTAATAGAAAATTCAAAATATTTCAAAATACAGGAAGACAAGAAAAAAATTATTTAAAAATATACTTGGATGGTGACGATGATAAGATTTAAGGAGCGACGCGATAGGAACCTTGAGTACAGAGACAGGTTAAAGCATCTTAATTTGCACTCCCTCGAGAGACGTAGAGCGAGGGGCGATATGATCGAGGTGTATAAATGGAAGTCAGGGTTAAACAACGGGGATATTACAAATGTACTCAAACTATCCAACCAGGAGCGAACTCGTAACAATGGTTTTAAATTAGACAAATTTAGATTTAAGCGCGAAATAGGTAAACACTGGTTTAGAAATAGAGTAGTAGACGAGTGGAACAAGTTACCAAATATCATCATTTACTCGAATACGCTGGATAGCTTCAAACATAGGTTGGATGGATAAATGAGCAATAGGGGTTGGGTGTAAATGGGACTGCCCAGTATGGGCCAATAGACCTGCTGCAGTTTCATCCATTCTTATATTCTTATAAAACGTAAACGAAGAGATAAGGCGCAGGCTTACGGTGTAAACTGACAACAACAGATAATGTGTTTCCTTGATGCTATCGTCCTCACTAAGATATAGAGGCGTCACACCACACCACAATAACATTATACAAGTAATGATATATTTATACTAATACTAAATATAAAGCAATGATGTCTACTATTATTACTATAAATAATAATAATAATAATAATAATAATAATGATAATAATAACACTAATCATATTACTAACGATGAAAATAATTACATTATTATTAGTAGTTAGCAGTCGTAGTAGTAATAGTAGTTGAACAAAATTTTACAAGGCTCCAGATATGTAGAAAGCAACTCTACACACGAACTCTTCAGTAATTCATACATGTAATCAAGCTAGTGACATTAGCTATATGTGTGTGAGCGTGTATTTTTTTTACTTGGGGCCACCCTTTCATTATGGCAGGAAGACTAAAAAAGCGAAAAGAAATATATTCATGACATGATTAGTTCATGAGATAGTAAGACCAAATTTCCATGTTTAGCAGCACTTCTACACCCCTGGTGTAATATATGTTGTTCACTATCACCGAGGTGTTCAGTTATTCTTAAAAATAAGAAGTTACGACTTACATCGTTGAAAAGCAGATTCGCTATGTCCGTGAAATTTGCACAAACACTTTTACAAGCTGTCTCGATAATAGTGTTCATTATCAGAATGTATAATACGAAAAGGACCGTTAAATCATTCATTTCTCAGACGTCACGAACAATCTAACCTAACCTATATAGAAACATCCTTGGATCGTTAAGTTAGGTTATTTTCAGGGCAGTTTTTTTTTTTGCAAGGAAATTTACATAATGGTGGAATTTTCTATCAATGACAATTTTCACCGAGAAAATTATCGTATCTTACCACCCATCCATAAGTAATCCTCAATGATAATTGTGAGACATTAATTTGAAACTCTCATTAAAGGAATACATGGTGAACAAGAATAATTTATGAGGTGTCGTGCGCCAGTAGCTCTGAAAAAACAATACTTGCGTGTTATATGTTTACCAAGAAATTTAAGCGTGTATTCTGAGTCAGCAATTAATAATTCAGAGATATTGTACATGCAATAAAGTCCGGCTGCCGCGTACAGCGACCCAACTTTGGACTCTTGTCTACAGTTTGCAGTACCGTGGTACCGGATAAGTCCAGTGGGACGCCGCACATGCAATCCGGCGTTGGACCGGTGAATTCACCGCAACAGCATAGTGTGAAGAGATACAGTCGGGACAAAAGTTTGCTCTCCGTCGTAAAACTGAGTCACGTGAAAGTCTTCAAACTGACTTACCTTGACTTTTGTGTCTCATTTGGGGTCGATGCTGATTCATTTTGGATGGTAAAAATCTTTTAACCCCGACTATACATAAGAAGTATCAGTCGACTGCTATGTCCGGCACGGCACCGCGTAGTGTGAAAGGGACCTAACAGGATGTTTTCGCCATCTATGCACCAACTTTTGTTCTGTGACTCATCAGGACAAGTCCAAGGGCTATTATTCTAATTTCATCAGCAAAGAGTACATTAAATTGGAGGATGAAATCCTTGGATAATTCTAAACCACAATGTCTCTATGGTAAAATGTCAGATTCTGGATAGTTTCCATGTTACAATACATTTAAGATGTTGTATTAATGAGAGTGAATTTGAAGTGAAAATCCGTAGGTTTTTGTAATAATTTATTCACAGATCTCTACGGTGTGACCCTTCTTTGTTACAACCTAAAGGAAATGTTCAAAGTTGTCCCCTTCTGCCTCAATGCAGGCCTGTACACGTCATACCATTGAATGTCTGATGCATTCCAGAATGCCTGGACTATGTTTAATTTGCTCGCAACTGTCACGAACACGTCGGCATATGCAGAATCTGACATTTTACCAGACATTGTGGTTTAGAATTATCCAAGGATTTCATCCTCCAATTTAATGTACTCTTTGCTGAATCACTTGAGTTTACCCACTGTGGGTACATTTGTTTTTAAGAGATAGGCTATACATAATTTCCACCCATAATTTTCAGGATTCTGGCGAAATTTACTTTCATAATTTTTGGCGTCGCATTTTTGTTTTTAAGTTCTGTACCCTTACCCTGCATTGCTGTACCCGCAAGCAGAATTATTTGAGAGGCCCCACAATACCACACATAAGAACATAAGAACATAAGAATGGAGGAAACTGCAGCGGGCCTATTGGCCCATACTGGGCAGTCCCGTTTACACACCTTCGCGACGTCACCTCAATTGACAACTACACTTTCTGAACTATGACTACTGTACTCTCTATCCAAGGTCAGTACTGTACGATAGGTCCTCTCTGCAAAGACAGTGAAAAATCCTTGGATCTCAGGTATAGCAATATGAAATATCTGAAAGGAAAATGATTCATATAGCCCAACAAAGAGTGTCTGAAAGCTTTTGCAATTATTTAACTATTCACTGTCAGATATTGGTGCGTATAATTATTATTCAAGGGCCTTAAGGGTTCATTTCAGCGGTTCAAAGTTAACATGTTTTTGGAGGGAATATATCATGTGGAAAGAAATTCATAGTGTCCGGGGACTAAAACAATTAGTGTCATGGTAATTCTGAACTTGTGAACGGATTCTTCAACGTAAAAAATGCAGGTATGACGAGGAAATACATATATACCTACCAACACAGTCCCCAGACACTATAAACGCACTTTGTAAAATGCACACACGAGCTCTAAAAGCAGTGACGTCACTAATGATCCCCCGGGGTGATCTCTTAACAAAGTTGCCTTGAACGAATAACTCTATCATTGCTCACTGAAGTATACATATTTCCGCGTAAATGTGGAGTATCCACAGCCAAAAACGCCATCATGGTAGGAGGGTGAAACAAAAGCCGAGCGACAAAAACTCATTGAATGTGTGAAACTTACACTTCATAACTTTCACGTGATAATATACGACCCCCGAGTGCTGATGAAGTTAAGAATCGATATGGAGAAAAATTAAAAGCTGCTGGAATCGACTGTTGTCCATATTAGCTTACAGTAGAAAACAAGAATAATAACCATTCAACAGGGCAGCCTGAAGAATTTGAGTCCACCAAGGGAAGCTGCAGTTCAGTTTTTCAATGAAAATCACTAATCATGGACCTCCTATATTTACCTCGAGTCAGTGTTGGTTCAATTATTCCGATTTGCAAGAGACCAACAAGTTTGCAATAGCCCAAAGCCATAGAGAACAGTAAATTATGATTTTTTTAATAGGGTAAGAGTTAAAGTGGGAGAGTTAAAGGACTTAGGGTACAGCTACGACTCAGTAGAGTATTAATATTAATGTGTAATATGTTTATGTATGTAAACTGTAAAATTTTAAATAAAAGATAAAAAGTAGAGTAGTGAAAGTTCATCTATGAACAGTCGAGCAAATTCAAGGTGTTTATCACTTTTATGATAAAAAGTAACTGTGCTGCAGTATACTTCGATATCATTAAAAAATTTGGGAACTGAATTACAAATTCTAACAAAATCGAGGGGTAGGCACACCCCTGTACTGAGTAGCATGTTATTTCAAATATATATTTTAATTTAAAATATCTTTCTCCCTCCTCCACCACTCTCTCATGGAAGGTCAGGAGAGGTAGCTTCTTTAAATTCCCTATAACAGCTGATATCACCCCCAAAGCCAGCAGAGCATTAAAATGAAATTTATCATGCTTTTTAAATTATTACGTATATACTTTTACACTCGTCACCTGGTGACTGGATCCAGGTGGACTGAAAAATTAAATGGTAGTGGTCAAGTGGGTAAATATATTATGAATGCCGTGACTTACAGCGAGTGAGTGAGAGTAATATTTGAGTTCGGATAATATTAATTATAATACTCAATCATGGAAACCCTGCTAGCGAAACATTATCATGGTAGAATAAATATAGAACAAAGACACAGATATTGCGAATTATGTCGTCACTGACAACGCCGAAAAATTCTACGTGTTATCATTGTGCTGCAAACTGTCATTGGGGGAGGGGGGGGGGGGGCGCCCCTTCCCAGCATTCCAGGAGGGCCTCCAAATGAGCCATAATTGATTTACAAATACACTTATATGGACAGGGTCCAGATGCTAAACATGGCCACCTCAGGGAAAAATGAAATGACGCTTTTGGTAACACTGTCAATTCTAATGAGATTAAGTCCAAAATTTTATAATCATGTGGACCTTGTCACAAGTTGATCATACTAAGTTTGGTGTCGATCTGCAAACCATTTCTTGAGTAATTTTAGGGACAGACAAACACAAAGACAGACAGACGGGGCCGAAAATAATACGCTGTCGTGTAGAAGTTGTAGGATGGGAAAGAATAATAATGACATAATTCCTAATAATAATATGTAGTTATAATAATAAGAGTATGAAACTATTTCCATACAATAGCAGTAAATTACAGTGTGTAATTTGTATTGAGTATTTTGATGGTAGTGGTGATGGTTACAGTATTGGTGGTACTTCTACAGGTGGGTGGTGACGATGGTAATGGTGATGTGGGTGGCAGTGATGGTTGTATTGGTAATATTATATTTTCTGATCATTCTTTCCCACGGAGAACATAAGATCGTCACCGGCGATACGGTTACTTCCGCTGATGGTAGAAGCCACGACGTGAGGTCTCGGAGATAACGTCGCCAACCTCCTCCGTGTACTTTTATCTCTTTCCAGACGCCAGCGAACATAACAAAGGAATAAGGAGCTTACAACTTTAAAATAATCATTAATTTGCGTCCTAAGGTCAAGATTATATAAGGATGTGTTTGGTTTATAAAATTTTAGTTGTTAATACTTCGTTTGATTTTAACGTTAGCTTAGTGGCGATAACCAAAAATACTACGAAAGACGTATACAATATCTACAACATACAGAAATAAATTTTTATTGTTAACTCACATAAGGCTGCAATTAGTATGTAGTTTATGTGGTGATAATTCCAGCAACTGGTGGATTGCCACGACAGATCTCGGTACAATAGATTATTTGTTTCCTAAGGCTAAGAACACATAAGGATGTATTTACTATTTGATTTTATAATAGTCTTCTCTTTGATGGTTACGATAGGTTCAAGCCAGTGGGAGATGTTTGGATTCTGTTATATAAAGGCAAGAACTGAGAGCGAGGCTGCAGAAGAAGGTAGACGTGTGCCGACTGCCGAGCCAACATGAAGCTACTCGGGGCTGCTGCTGCCCTTCTGACGGTGAGTGATTCCTGGCATGTACTGTACACAGGAGTGTGTTGCGAGGTGGTAGATAAGCTTCCCTACGGTACACTCTTCCTTTCAGAATCAATTAAACTTCAAATAATGTAACTCAAACCTTTGTGCAATATTCAGGTGCTAAAATATTGAAGTGCATACACCTTGATATACTCATGATTTTTTTTTTTTACTTTATTTTTTTTTGGGGAGATATTCAGCACCCCACACCTCCCTGTCCTTTTTAATACATGAAGTAGTGAAGGACGTGGTACTGAGACAACACCTGGCTATAAGATCACTTTATCCATGACCCAACACCAAAGTGTATGTACCCCGACAGGTGGTGATGGCGACGACTGTTAGAGGTGGTCCACCGCCAGCCCTCGATGACCCAGCTGCCTTGAACAGGTAATAATTTTTATCCAGGAGTGGTAAAAGTTCCACGAAGTTTTATTGAGAATCTTACCTCGAGATCAGTCTATAATTACCCCAGGGAGTATCAATTGCATTTTTCGTGTTTTTCTACCTGGGAGCCACGTCCTACACTGCCAATTTTAGATTTAGATTGCCCCCCGAGGGAGCTAGTTTATTGGGCACCCCCTTACATCCTGTCAAGGTGAAGTGCAGAAGCGTTTACAGCACCCATCTGGGAAGCATCCTCCAATTTTGAATTGTTGTGCAGTCTTTGGTACTATAGATATACATTATTTTTCATCACTGTACTGTAATTTAATAAAAATTCAAAATAAAAAAGAACCATCTGTAAAGTTCTCTTATGCAAGCTGTTTTTATTCAAATGGACGTTAAGTTCATTTACATATTAAATATATAAACCAACGAAACTTATCGTTCAGTTAGGTTAGATTGGATCGTTTACCGCTTCAAAAAATCCTACTCCCAGTTAAAACATCACGGGAAAAAAAAGATAGGGTGGTAGAGTACTATCGAGGTGAGGAATCGTCATTACAGTCTAAAACATCTAAGTCACCCAAGAACGGCACAGTATCACCCAAAATGTGCTAATAAGCTATTATAATAGAATTCGTAAGGGGAAAATTTAAAATTTCGACAATAAATAATGGGAAATATGCCCCCTCCTCAACCCCAGTTAAATCCACAATTATTATTCTTATATGACATATTTGAATGAAGACAATTATAAAACAATAGAACAAATGATGTAATTTTATAGAGCTAATCAATAATATTAGTTATTTTGATAAAGACGATTCAAGTGTTTACCGACTTACGATATTCTCCAAACGTTCCCGGGATAACTGGTAACCATCTGCTCCGTGTTCTTGTCAATGGGTTCATCCTTGGGGTACAAGTATAAAAACTTGAAATGGATGATTTTTCTTATGATATTTAGTTAATTAATTACGCCCACAGGGCAATATACTCACCATTAAATATGCAGCTTATCACAACGTAAGCAGACGTTAAGTGAATTGGTATTTAAGGCTTTACTGCCGTAAACGAACGCCTAGGTCACACACACTGTACTACACAGAACCTGCGTGAGTCATTATGCTCCTAATGTAAACAAGCATATCAAATGTATTTAGAAATGTCAACATCAATAAAAAAATAACACCTAAGCAATATTTTTAAAGTTTAAATTATGTAGTTTACGTGGCTCGATATTTTGTTTTATATAGTTATCCTAATTATCGGGTATGGATTTTGAATTGACCAAGGAAATTGGCGTAAGCCAATTATGCGGAAACGATATTCTACAGGAAAGATGACAACTGGAAAAACTGCAAAACATAGGGGGTTGACGTCAAATGTGCTACAGATAGTAAAGTTAGGCTTGGCATTAACAATGGTCCCCATAACAAATCACAAACATAATATGCCTGTTCCAGTAATCTTAAAACAGTGATTGGGATTTGGAGGATTGCATATTCACGCGGCTTGAGCAACATAATTGTATTCCACTATGGGATCAAAACACCAATTTGCTGTCGACTATTTCATCTAAGGAATATTTTTGAATCTAGACTTAAGGTAACAAGGGTGACCAAACCTCCGATTCATTATACAGTACAGTACATCACAGATTATGATGCTCCAAATTTCTTATACTGTACTTTATATTTATATTCGTCATGACTAGTATAATACATTTTTTTTTTTTTGCAAAAGTTTATTTGGGTTTGGGGAATATTGGTCTTTTAATTCAACCACCAGCCAGCCCAGTTAAAGACCGATTATTTTGTCCTGAAGTTGGATGAAGATTTGGAGAGGCCTTCGAGACCTTCCTCCAGAATATATTTCAGTACTCCCAAGTATCGCAGTCATCATACTATAGTACTGATCTATTTGAACATGGTCAGAAAATGAATTTATACAAGAAAAGCTCTACTGTATTTAAATAACCCTAATGAATGTTCCCAGATTTGGAACATTGTTTCATGTTCCTCGCGCATTTACTTTTCAGCTTTATTTATCCAGAATCGAAGAATGGAGGGTACAGGTAAGGATACAAATGCAGACACAGAAACATCTTGTATAGGGTACTTAAGAATGTAAATACATAATTATTTATTAAATGATACAGATCACTAGCTATTGAATAGCTCCAATGTACTGCACACACCAGAATCTGGCAGTATACCAACACCCCCATATCTTCCCCATGACATCTGAGTAGTTCAAGTAATCTTCATATATCCCTCACGACCCTCAGCATACCTCCTTATCAGTCCATGTGACTTTTCATAGCTCCAGCACCCTTCATTTCTCCTTTTATAGCTTTTAGTACTAGCAGTACTCTCCTCCACCTTCCTCTAATGTGCTTCCATACCCTTCACATTTCCCCCCCGTGTACACAGTGCATTCCTTAATTGTTTAAACTTCCTTCATCTCACAAAACCCTTAAACAGCTTTTGTGTCTTAAGATTTTCCTCCCAATCATTTGAACAACCAACGATTTCATTATTTGAATAACCAACAAATTGATCAATTCACTTCAGGCATCTTGATGGTCGGTTCACTGGAAAGCAGGAAATCCATAATTCTACATCCTCACCTGCCGTTCATTCTACAGCAAACAAGAATGAAGAACATGAAAACCCCCAAACAAAAAATGGAGCACACCAAAAGGAATCAGAGCCGATCAGAGGCGGTAAAGATATCAAAGGCAATGACTCGAAGAAATGGGATCCAACTGATAAACCAAAGGGTAAAAACATTCCATCAGCCTTTGCGGAACTACTACCACCTCACAGATACTTCAAACCACTGAAAAATAACTTACCAGAGGTCAACAACAAAACACGAGTAAGGTTGGCTAGAAATGCTGGTATTGGAAGATTTGCAGAAGACTCATTTCAAGGAAGGAAAAGACAACAAAATAGAAGCTGTTGCCCATGGAAAGATTGGGACTTCAACGATAAAGATGATCAGGGAAATAAAACAATCTCTCTAGAAATACAATCAAATAAGAATGATGTGCTAAAGAACCCTAAAACAAAACCAAATCCAGCACGAGTACAGCCAACATACAAGAGCAGCATACTGAATGGAAAGAGAGGCATAACCAAGGATGAGATTCCTTATAATGAAATGACTTCATTGGAAACAGAACATGTCCAGCATAGTAGGACCTTGGAAAAGAGAGCAAAAAAGATTGGTCGTGTAAAAAATAGTTCAGTCACCTCTTTAGAAACACAGTCAAACAATCGTCAGATATGGAACCGAAGAAAAGATGATACAGGAGGTGACCCTAAAGTTCCTAAGGAAACACAAACAAACAGTCGTCAGAAGTCATGGAAGAAATGGGACCAGAGCAGTGGTGATACAGAACGTGACCAAGTTCCTCGTGAAACACAAACAATCAGTCGTCAGAAGTCATGGAAGAAATGGGACCAGAGCAGTGGTGATACAGAACGTGACCCTCAAGTTCCTCGTGAAACACAAACAAACAGTCGTCAGAAGTCATGGAAGAAATGGGACCAGAGCAGTGGTGATACAGAACGTGACCCTCAAGTTCCTCGTGAAACACAAACAAACAGTCGTCAGAAGTCATGGAAGAAATGGGACAAGAGCAGTGGTGATACACAGGACGATGAAACTACAACCTTCAACACACAGCCAAACAGAAACAATCGTCCCGAGGCATGGGATAAATGGCTCTAAGGAATAATAATGCACTTATCCCAAAGTACAGTAGTCCAACAGACTGCAGCAGTCCAGACAAAGATGAGACATAATTATTGCAAGTGGTAAAAACAAGAAAATGATGAAAAGGTGATTCACTATATGATGTTGCCAGACTTTTGAAAAAATAAAATCATAATTAGACTTTAAACAAACTAAAGCAACATTATCTTTTAAAACATGTGGAGTAACACCAATAATTTTTTGACAGAAGTCTGCCATAACACTTGAAATTACATCACCTTTAGTTCAAAATAAGGCAAACTGCTCTGTACAGTTGGCAAAAAAATTCTTGAACACTCTAGCATCATACAATATGACAAAACGAATGATAAATCTCATAAAGTTTTATTGCATATTTTGTATAAAAAATTCAAAGTATCAATAAACTTACATGTTTATCCTATGTTCTTTTCTGTTTATACTATAAAGACGAGCAACATGTATTATTACAAAATATCAAGTCACTTCACAACCAGGCAAACCAACCACTCTGAGGTCACACCAGTCACAGTGCTGTCTGAAATGTATCATGGCCAGCTGTTTCAGAAATTTTTTGCCAACTGTACAATACAGGAGGTCCCCAACTTACGAATGCCCGCCAATACGAACGGGGTTAAACTTGAAATTTACATTACAGAGTATTTTATTTACTCGACTTATTTTTTACTTTCATGTACCGTATTTTGTCATTCTATTTCTTCTTTTGTTTTAAATCAAGTGATTTTAGATGTGGCAATTGAACATCACAATTGTACTGTATTTGAACACAGTACTGTACTGTGAGCTTTTGACACATGCATTTGGATGTCATATATCTTTATAGTAACTTTCTCAGCAATATTACTAATAAGAATCTCAGTTTTGTTATCCCATCACAAAGTACAAGTATATTAGTGTAGCAGAAACTATTAAAAGCAAGATATTTTTGGCAATATTACATAAATTTTGTGTCAGAAACTCAAGGTATCAATAATTAATTTATAAGTTTATGTTCTTTAGAATACCCTGTATTAATTATGAAATACATCAATCCCTTACTAGGGAACGGTTACATCATATGTATTTCTTGTTTTTATATTCTAGTTCTGATCAAGCTTTAAAATGATTACTGTACTTGATTTTGTCCATTGATCAACAAAAATATAGATACAGAATGACTATCCACAGACAAACAGGTAGTTATACTCACCTATACATATTGAAGACTACTTGCTGGTATAATAGTTTACTAAAACTTATATAATTCAACATCAAATGACCCCCTTTACCCAAAAGGGGTTTGGTTCCAATACAAAAAGCAATAGTATTTAATTTTCAATACAATATTCTGATTGTAGTCACAAATGTAAATAAAAGAGAATTTAAGCGGTTTAAGGAAGGTATGAGTATATTTTGGAAACCACTGTACTGTACAGTAAGTGGGTAAGACATTTACAGTATATCAGTGGACCCAAAAATCAGTGCCAAGCCAAGTATATACAGTAACCCTAAATTGCTCCACAAAAAAAAAATGGCTTATATGGGTGGACACATTTCCCAAACCCAATTAAAATTTCAGTTCAGGGTTTGTTAAGACACTTGATTAATTGGGGCCACAGTTACTATATAATTGTCTTCTTCATACTGCAAATAACAAGCTTCCTTAGCAGTATATTACACCACCTTAGAAATCCTGAGGTGAACCCTTAACCCTTTGTAGAGCAGGGGTGTCTGTAAGCTGAGTAAAACTGCCTGGTATTTACTACAGTATAATAAAATACCATACCTAAATGTGCTGACCTACAAAAGGCTGATGTTGTATCCAATAAAAATAGGAAAACCATAATTTATTTCTCCTTGCTTCAGCTCTCTCCTTTTGCTTTCTACACTTGTACAATTCTTCCTATGTTTTCCTCCTGTTTGAGGCTTGATAAACTTAAATAAAGTAGGAGATGAGTACTGTACAGATAATACAGGCATAGTAAAGTACATGGAAATTTTGAAAAAATAGAACTATGGCAAAGTGTTTTTTTTTTGAAGACATCAGTGTTAATAAGAAGAGAAACTGGGCCACTGTGCAAGTTGAGATGGATGAAATGTAAGGTCTCATGAAGATTAAGAACCTGACTTATTTCATCTGTTTAAACATCCTAAAGCTGGCTTAACCAAACCAAATATGACAAAATGCCTCCCCCCTCTAGCTGTTTTTTTTCTCTCTTGGTATGATTACTGTAATGTATCACAGTAAAACATTATGAAGTACTGTACTATATTGGTTTGTATTTTCTATAAGGAACAGGTAGAGTGTAGACAGGAAAAGAATACAGTATTCACAAGTGGGGCTGTGACATTGAGTTGATCTGGAGCATGATTGAGCCGATGAACATAATATATAAGAAGAATGAATATTAATGATGTCAGTATATGACCTCAAAAGAGCAAAGGCATAAATGAAACTAAAAACACAATTTCATCTCCCAATACATGTACTGTATTGCAATTAAACTGGAGAGGGGATATAACCAAGAAAAGTATGAAGATTGCCTAAAAGGGAAAGAAAGAAGAGACAATATTTACTGAAAATAACACAAACTTGGCAAATCAACTCAATACAGGTTGCAACAAAGGTCTGTGAGAAAATGAATTACAATTTGTGATTATTGACATTTTCATCACAAACCCTTACAATCAACCAGTTTTCTGCTTAAAACCTGTATCAAACTCTTTACACAATTTTTCTCCAGGTCAATGCAGTTATTCTTATAACACCCAGGATAAACTTCTGCCACTGATGTACAAAAACATAAGCAACCAGTATGTAAGTGTAAACAAGAGCCATTGTCAAGATTTCTAAAGGTTTATTATAAATTCAGTAAAGAGAAATAGCCTTACATGCCAAAGAATCCTACAGATTTGAAATTGAATGCAGCTGAAACTAAGTGAAAAGGATAGTACTGAAAATAAATCGATTACAGATGATTTACATACAGTATTGTTATTAGAAAAAAAATAAATAAAATCGAAAATGAAAACCTTATGACTGAAAACTTAGTGAGTTTCATTATACAATTTGTTCCATTTCTCGAGCATAATTAATCATTTGGTTCGCCAACTCTTTAGAAGGGATGCTGTCGTCACTCTTCCGTACCTCTTTCTTGAAATGCAAATAACCATCAGTGCCCACTTGCCATCCACGCTGTAAACAAAAAATTTAGAATAGTAGGATTCTTTAAAAGTATTTTAATTTGTATAATAATTACCAAACTGAAGTCAGCTGAAAATAATTTACTCGGATGCCTCCTTATGAAGACTGTCTAGATAATGATATAAGCATGCCCTTAAAATTCGAGGGGGTTAGGTTCTCAAAATGGCAGCAAATAAAATTTATTGACGGGGGGGTGTTACATTTTTGCTCATGTGCAAAGAAATGTACAGTACATACAGTAGGGTCGGGATATATCATGACTACCAAAATTATCGACATTTTCCAATATACAGTATAGCGATAAATTTATTTATTTCGCGAGGGAAATTGGGCAGGAAATATTTCAAATGAACCACCATGGCAAACCAATGTGTTAGTTGCTCACCAGAGGCGCCATCGTGGCTGCTCACTCACGCATTCGCGCTCGCCCATTCAGTCTTTCTGAGTGAGTGACGAGTAAGCAGCCGACTCTGCTGCAGATTACTACTTCTAAGGTGAGCATAAATGGGTTGCTAGTGACGTGAAAAGTGAAGTGAAGAGAATGGAAAGCTTAATGCAAAAGACTTAATACTGTAACTAATATTTTTGGTTTGTTCATGTATGTAGGTGTGGGATTGTCAAGTGAGGGTGGCAGTGTGGCGTCTGCTGCAGAATCTGGTGTTCCCGAGATGGTGCGCGTCAGCTGTCAAGTCTGGTGTTCCTTGATATTGAAACAGCCTGTTTTTTTCCCGATTCTAGTGTTCATTGGTGTTTTAGTTAGTAAGAAAATAAACTCGTAGTCAAGTTTAGTCACTTTTATTGGCCTCCAGAACCTAACCCCATTTTCTCCATTGATTACGTGTAATTATATACTGTATAGCGAACATCATTGGACCCTATCTCGCGATATATCCTGACCCTATTGTACCCTTTATGCGTTTGCCCTTAGGACTATTATTTCTTTTACCTGTACTGTATATATGTGTGTGTGTAGACAAACACACACTTACATATACAATACATGTAAAAGAAATTACTGTCTCTACAACGAATAGCTCCCTGTCCCGGACGCGGAAATGCCAGTAATACTGTAATGCTGTAATAATAATCATAAAAATAAAGAAAAACATACAGTAATTCCCACATAATTATTATGCCAATCTTAAAATACAATTTGGATAATGTTGTATGTAGGAAAACAAGTTGTACCATTTGCAGTTTATATGGTTTGGGTGGTTTATACTTGGAACAAAACTCCAAAGGAGGCTTCAGCATGCTCCTGCTGGCAAGTTTGTTGCTGCATCAGAGGAATGTTTATAGACAGAACAGATAACCCAACTATAGTGTTTGGCATGTTTGTTATGTGCTGGATTCACTTTGCACAATATGAATTGTATAGATTAATTTGACATGGAAATCATGAAGAATGGCATTTAACATACAGTATGTACTTATTGTGGAAGAAAAAGCTTACTTCCTCACAACTATAATGACCTAAGCCACAGCCTTAGAGTATGGCACAAGCTCATTTTATCATACCCTACTGGATTTTTATTGCATTTAGGCTGCTCATATTAATTTTTTGAGCATGCACACAGTGTACTGTGTACCATATTCTTTGCAAATTTGGATTATACATTACTGTATATATTTTTGTAGCCAAATATTTACCAATTAGATTTGCAGTATCTCTATGGAGTTTGTCACATACCCCTTAAAGATTACTATGGTTTTACTGTTGGATCAGTAATGGCAGTTGAGTGCAGTGTACTGGAAGAAGACTAAAATATCCTGTACCCACACTGCCCCTAAAAGGATGTCAGGCCCTTAGGGAACACTTTTGCTTTCACTGTTTGACTGTATACAAAAGCATTATCAATAGAATATCTGTAACAAATTACATGTCAATCCACTTGTGACAGTCATATATAAGCATACAAAACATGTTTACTCTTCAACATTACCTATTAACATTAAACCATTATTTGCACTCTACACTTGGAGGCATCTTTCTACTCTGATGCAAGATGGCTGGTGTTATGAATGAACAGAATCTCCCTTCAATCAATGTCATTTGTTCTGTGTCATGAGTCATACAGTCTGTTATGGTTTTTACTTTCTACCATGAAGCCCCAATATATCCCTGGTTAAGTCCGTCACTTCTCACCACCTAGCATCACCCATCAGCAGAAGGTTAGGTTGTTATGAAAATCACAAAAGAACATACCTGCTCACAATACTGGAGAATTTCCTTCGTGCTTGATAAATATAACATTTTCCCAATGTCCTCTGGTCTGATTCTGTCATAGGCATTTTCAACACAGTCGGCAATGTCCTCACGAATAGTGGCTAACAGCTCTCCTATAAAAAATTTGTACCCTTCTGCTGGAACCTCACCCTTTGCCAAATAGATCTGTTGGGAATTAAGATATTTCTACATTATCATCATTAAATTTAGCATTTACCAAAATTACACACAATACACGAGAATCTGACATTTAATTAATTTTAGATAAAAAACTTAACTCTAAGGGAAAACTTGTACTGCACTGGGAGGGTTAGTCAAAATTGATGCTCAGTGTGGTGCACTCCACTCTAGTGCATGTAGAGAAACACAAGTTTAAAACACCAGAATGATTACGTGTGTATGGGCAATTAAGAGACAAGAAATTAAAATGAATTATCATAACAAAGAATCAAGATATTTCAGTGCAGGCACCAGGAATTAACATTCCTTATCCTTCACAGAAAGTGACGAGTTTTCCTCAAACACAAACACAGCAAGTAAATACTGCACCTTGTTGTATGCTCCCTCCATAAGGTACTGCTCCATAGCAACTGGGTGTCTGATATAAACATTATCGGTGACAGCTGGTGGAGGCAGATGCTCCAAGGTGGTGTGAAACTCTCCTACTTTGTTCTGGGCCAAGAGACACAGTAAGTCTAAACCAAGAAGCTCATACATGTAGGGTGACTCGGGCAACTGCTCCCTGGAGAGGTGGAATTGTAGGTTAAGGGTTCATATGCTCACAAGTGGATTGAGTAATTGGCAAATATTTTAACATTGGATCATGTTAAGCATGGCATAAGAAGGCTGGGAAATACCCCCATATATTCATTCATACAATAAAAATACTTATACATGTACTTGGAAAAACCAGTAATGAAAACAGTGCCAATGTGTATACAATATGTGAATAAAGATTTCTTGTCCCAATGATAACAAAGAAAACCAGAGATAGAGATACATTTACTGTACAGTGTTTTATTGATCAGGCACCAGTTTTTCAAATACAGGTACAATCAAGAGAATTATCTAAATAATGTTGTCTAATACTGTACAGAATATGATAACCTATTATGCTACATTATAAAGCGTCTCACCTGTAGTCCATATAGTATATCTTAAGCATGGCAATATATCGCTCGAAGGATGGGATATCCTTATTGGCAATGCTCCACAATGCACCAATCTCAAGGGTATTTCCTGAAAGACAAATCATCTTTATACAGCGCCATAAGCTCGTTGAACAGGCTTTGTGTGAAATATATATATATATAAGCCATAACCACAGTACAATACTGTACACTGCTATGTACTATCACTATCAAAACACAATATGCACCAAATTGATGCAGATGCAGAAAAATATCATAAATGGTGTTTATGCTTTCTTTAAAAAACTGATCCCCGTGGAGTTAATTTTACTATACGTTCTTCCCACAATCAGTGTAACCCTTTCTACTGTACACTTAGATAACATTGTACTGTACTGTATTCTACATCTTATCTGCAATGCCTTACTCCTCTCTGAGAGTAACCATGACAACAGTCAAAGCTGTGTTATGAAAACAGATATATTTTGTCCTATTCCCTACTTGATGTAATGATCTAACTTACTTTTGACAACATAGTGCATCTCCTTATTCCCATATCATCTGTTAAATCTTCAATCTTGAAACAATCCAAAATTATGACAAATAATGAGATAGTTTTAACCCCAGTGACACCCTGATATAAACTTAAAAACTTATACACTTCAGATCTCAATACAGAAGTTAATAAAACAGTACTGTACAGTACAGTTGTATACTTACGAGCTACCAGCAGTTCCTCCTTCGACACGCTGTGTCCCATTGAAGGTAAGAATTGAAGCTTTGTCAATTCAACCTATAAAAAAACGTATTCATAAATAACAAAGATGTTTTGGTGGATATTACGGGGATGGTCATCACTGCATTTGGTGAATTTTTAATACCTTGTATTTTTTTTTACAAATATAAATAAAATCTGGCATGATAACAAGGAAACACAATTATCAACTTAAGAAAGACATGATTTATATATCCAAATGAAGCATCACAACCCAGTTAACTTGGCTTTCTCAGGGAAGCTGCTGAGCTAAAATAGTACATTAATAACAATAGAGGAAACAAATGTACCAAACATTGAAACTAAGCATAACAGACCTAATAATCCTTGTTATTTGGTTGTGTTAAATACTTTGGCTATATTGTCTGCCATTACAGCCCCCAGAGGGAACTTTGTTGAGAAAACTATGATTGTTTCTTTTGTAGTCTATGGAGAGTTAACACATTAATTCCACAAGTTCACACTAATTTTTTTCCTTGTTCCCCACTAGACCTGAATTTAATACATAAATACAACTATAAAAAAATAATTAATAAAGCAGTAACTCTTCCTAACCTAGACCAAATTTTTGTTGTATGAAGAATATACTGTAGTTTGATCCCAAGAGTGAGTTTCACTAAACTAAGAGAGGATTACTTACAGTGTAGAATCAAAGATAAAACCTAATTATTCTTGTGTATCTGAACCACCAAGGTATTTTTGACAACTATTGTACTGAAGGAAAATATAAATCAAATGTATAGGACGTGCAGACCTTAAATTTTCTCCCTTTAATTTTCTTTCTATAGATAACCTACTCATTTAACACGACCACAAGCTATAATTTTGCAGTAGTCTGTAGAGTATATCGATGGGGTTCCAATGTATTTTTATGCAGCAGATCATTTTTATGTTAGACGTCAATGATCACCGGCGTCTATAAAAAAAAAATTATTGGGTGCACTCTCAGTCACCCCTGCTGCCGTCTAAGGGTTAATTCATTGGTTGGCAGGAGTCCTAAAACGATCTTAACACATTTCACCATAAAATATAAATGCCTTTTTTGAAGTAAGAAATCATTTATGTTCTGAGGTGAAATTGGTAAAATTATAAAAAATTATAGTTTCGGTCCTCCCTGTATTTAATGTCCAAACTAATGTAACCTAACCTAACCATCCTAACCTAAATCTAACCTAACAGGACTCCCCTAAGATTCCCCGGATGACCGAAACTAAAATAATACCGTGAAATTTCCAATTAGATTTTAAATTTTCATATCAAAATCAATGCATCATGAAATATTTACTTCTCAATTTTTAACACCAGTCACAATATTGAGAATGTAACAAAATACTATTAGTGCTTTTGTGGCAGATATTCCAAAATACAGTATGGTAGTGTCACAGAAAAGTAAACTACTGTATTACCATTTACTGTTACGATCATGGTACTTAATACAGAGAATTTCACTTTTCGGTAAAATTATCGTTTCTGTCATGCACCTGTTTGGAAGTAAGTCAGAATAGTTCAAAACACATAAAAAAATATCGGAAAAACATAATTTCAAACAAACCTGACTCAACCTAACCTAACCTGACTCAACCTAACCTAACCTAACCTGACTCAACCTAACCTAACCTTAAAATCCTAAACTTCGCTGCATGACCGAAACGATAATAATACCTTTACTTCTTGGAAGGTTATAGAAGTCTTTTGATATTCCATATTACCCACATTTTATTTTTTGTTAGGAACAGTCGAGGATACCCGAGCTTAGCCCCCCAGGCTCACCTCATCCCACCTGTAAATATAACAATCAACTCACCTTTATATCAGATAACAATTTTCCACAAGTCTCCAGATTCCTATTCTTCTTGGACCACTCATTCTTGAGCTTCTCGTAGGTGGAGACCACACTTTTAACTACACTTTCTCGGCTCATGACGACCAACACACCACAGTCCTTCCCTCCAACGATGACTCGACCACAACAACAATCTAAAACTTATACATTTAAATTATACTTATTTCATATTTCTTGCCGTATTTTTTGTTCTTTTATTATAAAAATAATTATAATGTTACATTATTTGTAAACATTTACATAATATAAGCATTTCTGAGACATGTTTCTTTTCGTATAACTATTCGTGACTAACCTTTTCTAAGACATATATTTATGATTCTTCATATTATACAGGTTCATTTAATTTTTCGAAACCAGAACTTATTAAAGAATAGGTATACATTTATAGTAAACTTGACTTAATATGAAGAGGATATAAGTAAAAAGTAAAAGTAAACCAACTGAATCAACTGGGGACAAATATCAATTAACCACAACTACTGTGCTTTAAAGATTCATATCTTAATTTCTTATATAACTTAAGTTTAATATCAAAGTTTGTCCTTATTGTTGTTAAAATGATGATAAAAACTTCATTCAGGGCAACCACGAATTGCAGTTCATTTGTGATGAATATTATTTTTATTCTTTTACTACTACCATGAATATATTACTAGTTAATATTAAACTATAATTTATATATTAATATGAGAAGTTAAACGAGACACTCTGGTAACTTATGGCACTAGTGTTATGATCCCTGAGGTGTGTGGTGTTTACGTGAGGCAGGTGACAGTGACGCATTCTAGCTTGGATTATAGTTATCACATATAACTTGTTCTTATCCGTAATATTCCCCACGGAAATAACATGTTCAAGAAAAAGCCAACAGCTAAAGGTAGGAGAAGGCTCGTGACGTGTATTTTAAGTGTTTACTCATTCTCGGATGTTTTGTTACTTAGGCCAGACCTCTGATAAACACTGGGTATTATTGAGGTGTCCTGGAAAAACAATAAAAAGTTTTGGCTGAGAAAAAAGGTCGTAGCATATCGACACATCTTTTAAATTACATAAATAAAAGAAGGTTAGGTATGTGAGTTTGTTAATATTTACTCGTGTTACCCAGCAATTCTAGGAAAATTTTATAGGGAAGAAAACTTTTCTTATCCTATTCAACCAAATCTACCAAACCTAATGGAAATTAACCTACCAAACCTAACTTAGATTCGTGTTCAGAAAAAAATGGTAAATACAAATTAATAACGAGAGAAAGACCGGTATATTACTATAAATTCACCAAAAACAATATACAGTGCATGGAAGTTGCAATTCACTTCTTTTTTTTATTATTACGGGTGGGGTTATTCTAGAGGTTAGAACGAAGTTTTCTTCTGTAGAAAAATCTAAAGTTACTGGTTAACACGAGTTAGTGTTACAGAGTATTACCATAACTGACTTTTTTTCCCTACATTCATTGTTGAGGGGTCTGGTCTAAAACCATGGGGTCTGACCATTCCGTCACCACATTTTTTTACCACTTTCGTCACCGCGTTCATTCCCATCATCATTTCAAGGGCAATACATTCCAGAAAATTCTCACATAATTAATACATCAATATGTACACGAAAATTTCACCAAATTTGCCAAAATAACTGTTGCTTGGGATAGAAAATAATCAAAACACTTAGTTTACAAAATTGTATTACGAAATTATGGCTCTGCATAACAATACATTGGATCATGTAAGCATGTCACTAAGACAATTTATTAAAGATGGGAAAATACAAAATAATAATGTTAATACTCATGCAAGCTTGGAAGAAGACACTGACATTTTTTTTAGGAAATTAGAAGTGATGATATTTTTTTCTTCATATTCATCCCACAGCTTTTCTTGTGCACGGTTTTAGCTTGTGCTCAGCAACTAATTGTAATTGCAAATCAACCAAGGTGGTGAAGAAGAAGAAATCACCTTCTTTGGTTCTGTATTTTGTTTATTTACCAATGTTTTAATTGTTTTCTTTATTAAATAATTAATATTCATGTATATAATAATAACACAATACTTCTCGAGTTGTCTGTATACATGTGTAATTTCTAATCGTGTAAAATAATTACTTACAATTTATCACTCTAATACCAGCGACTAACTGTCTGTTAGAGGTAACGAAACGGGTTTCATATTGATGACGAAATGGGTTATTTGGTGACGAACCGGGTTGGTGACGAAATGGGGTGTATCCAAAACCATTATATACCATACACAGTGAATACAAAGAACAGAAGGACTACTAGATGGTGATTTGTTTAAATCAACTACTACATGAGCTTATTTGTTGATTAACGATAATGAAATACGTTTATAGAAACCATGGAAGTGACCGATGTTATACTTTACGTACTTTTACTTTCTTAAGTTTGGAAGTGTACTTAGTTGGTAATTGAGCTGGAAGAGAATATCTTGCTTTAACCACAAACTTTAAGACATTTTTATAATAGAAGACAATTGCTTTCTTACTTCATGAAAATTCAATAAAATAGCTAATACATTACAATACTACTGTGAATTTGAATGATTATTTCACTGAATAAATATCCATGAATTTAATATAACCATACTACTGTACTGCAAATGGAAACTCACTACTGTGGTATTTCATGAATATGCTAACTTGCACTTAGTTTACCATAGCCGTATATGGATGATAGTGGTGGTGTTCACAATTCAATCCATTAAAAGGAGTAGGGCAGTAAAATGTACCAACCAAATGTAATGTTCGTGAAAACTGCTTACAAAGGGATGTCTTTGTGTAAACAAAACAAGATTGGGTAAATGTTTACTTTAGTGCTACAAGCTATTTCACAAGTGAAAATTTGTTTTTCCTTCATGAATTTTGTTGCTTTTTTTATTGGAAATAGTTTTTCCTTTGGATTTTTTTTTCCAATCATGGTCAAACATTAGTTTTTTTTTGTTAATTTTTCCGGAAAAATCAACATCCTCCAGTAAATAAAACCAAAATTTTTGCAGGATTTTCTTTTTTGCTGCTTTCATGTAAACAAAAGAAGCACTTACCTAACCTAACGTAACCTGACCTAACTCCCTAGTATTTAACTTATCCTTATTTATTCTAACCTCCTAGCAGGGGTGGGGGGAGCTTTGCCCTATGCACTCCCTCTCCCATGGCTCGCTGATGACTAACTTGCGAGCGACCGGCCGTAGAACCTGCGACCATGCCCACGGCTCATGCAGTATTATAGTATAAATCATAAAAAAGAAATGCTTCCCCAAAAGAGAACACTGTCATTAGCAATTAACAACAAAAATTGTGGTGAATAAGCAGTGTATTCTTGCTAGAATCGTTGGTAGCATTAATCTACATGTTAACCCAAGATTGTTCTCCTAAACCAATGATGATAGATAAAAATTATTGGTTCTGTAACTGTAAGATGTTGGCTGCTGTATTTGATGCTGTAACCCTATACTGTATTGTATTTATATACAAACTGTACCTTTATAGTGTGTACCTGTATATGTTTCTCCATGAATATATACTTTGATACAGTACAGTAATTGAATCCAACAGCTGACTGCTACACATTATTTATTTTGTAATTTATGGAAATTAACCTTTACAGAACAAATGAGGACTAATGATAGACAACTACGTAGAGCTGGTCGAGATGTGGAACGGGATCGAAGAGAATTGGAGAGAGAAGAGAAAAAGTTAGAAAATGATATTAAAAGGTTGGCAAAGTCACCAGGCAACAAGGAGGCTGTTACATTGCTTGCCAAACAACTAGTTAACATAAGGAAACAGAAAACAAGATCTTATGCAGCAAACAGTAGGGTCAGTATTGAAATTTTAAGTTACAGTACTACTCAGTTTTACTACACCTGTTGAATGTTTAAAGAAAGTTGTAAGAAGTTTGTATGCTGCAAACAGAAGGCCTGGTATAGTCTTGATATTTATTGTTACTGAAGAAAAGGAAAAAGAAACAGTAGATTGGAACATGCACTGCAAATTCTGTATTAGTACAGGTACCTGTATATGATTGTTTAAAGACTTAGTCATATACACCACATCTATTAATTACAGTACAGTATACCCTTCTTGTTTAATCTAATATGTTAGCTAATGCAGAGCTTGGGTGTCAAAGTGGTATAAGAAATCACCAATAACTGTACATACTGTCTCTGTCGTTCTTTAGTTTTGTATCAGTCCCCTCTATTGTACATTTTATATTGTAGTACAGTACTGTGTACGCTGGTATTTCTTATTTACCCCTCAGCTACCAGGGTGATTCATCTTTAATGAAGACAAATAAACCTGAAGAAACTATGTATTTTTTAATCCCATGAGCCATGACCCATAGATGTTCAAATTGAAGGTAAAATCAGTAGGAGGATCCCCTTAATTTGCATGATTTCTTAACCCTTGGCAGCCAAGGGGTAATTTCTGGTTTCTATGGACCAATTTTTTTTTTGTGCTCTTAATACAGTATACTGTACTTTTATATGGTGAGGGTAATTATCCTGGTACTACTATAGTGTGCAGTCTACAAGATATTTAGGTTAGGTTAGACTAAAGATATCTTTCTAGACCACACACTATAGTAGCACCATTCTCTTTATAATTTGGTAGCAATCATGTTCTCCTGGCTGAATCATACCGGTAAGTTCTGCAGAAACTCTATTACTGTACGTATTCGCAAAACTCGGTTCCTGACCAGAATAGATACTGTAGGTAGAAATTGTGGATATATGAAACTTCCTGAGGGCATGTTTTAGCACTTTAGATAATAACCTAACCATATAATTGTACAATACTGTTCTACATTTATCTTTGAACTGACTGATGTCAAATAAAAGTGTAGATGCAGTAGATATATACAGTACTGTACATGTATACAGTATCTATATACAGTAATGTTTTTAATTTTCATCACAGATATCATCAGTTGCAGCACAGCAGAAATCTATGCAGGCCAATGTGAAACTTGCTGGTGCTATGGGTACTGCAACAAAGACCATGGTGAATATGAATCAGGTCATGAAACCAGAGGACATAGCCAAAAATATGAGGGAGTTTGAACAGGCATCTGCTAAACTTGACATGAGCGAGGAAGTCAGTAAGTATTTGTTCAGATGTCTGAATTTATTTTTGTGATATGTATTATTGGAATAACTTTCCTGTGGACAGTGTTGTGGAGGGGAAATACTAAAGCAGAACGCGACTGTTAAAGAGAGGGATAGAATAAAGGGGGATTCTGTGTACGCTCTTGGTTCTGATCAAATTACTCTGTAGCTACTGGGAGAGGGTTTACAGGAGTGAAAAACTACTTGTCTGGTTGTTTGAAGCATTACAATTAGTCTATAAAAGTAAAGAATGTATGGCCCAGGATTGTAGTAACTCCATGTTTGCAGAGAAAACTAAAAAAAAATACGGGAAAGTTATTATTTGTACATAATATAGATAATAGATAAATGACTTAAGCAGCTTTGTTACACTGTGTCATGATGATATGAAGCCTATTAATGTATTTTCTCTTTCACAGTGAATGATACTCTTGATGATCTCTTAAATGAAAGTGGGGATGAGGAGGAAAGTGACGCAATTGTCAATCAAGTGCTAGATGAAATAGGCATTGAAATTGGTGCGAAGGTAAGTAGTTTACATTGTTGCTCCATGTTTCTAAATGTCTGTGTATTGTATATTAATTTGACTACGCATAGTGTTTCCTGGGGATAGAAGAAGACTACAAATATTTCCTTAGTAAAGAACCGTCAGGGGGGAGGGGGCTGCATGTAACATAACAAACCTGAACTGAATTAACTTTACATTACACTTTCCTCTTTAATACTTGATAGTGCTCCCATAGGCAGGCCTGGCTAAGTGGTCTGCTGCCTTTAATGCAGGAGGATTAGATAGGATAAAACATGATTTGTGAAGACTATAGCCACTTCCTTCTTAATTTACATATTTGTCTCCTGTAGGTCTACCTCACATTGTTTTTCCACACTACTCTACGACACTTCCCCACTTAAGAAAACTATAAAGTCTTCAAGGGTGAAAAGTCAATTGATCTAACTAGAGTGAAAATAGTTGTCAGTACAGAACATATATACTGTAGCTACATAATTTATTAGTCCATCAAGATGAACTACTGCTGAGGTTGACCATCTGTCATTGTCTGCCTCTGTGTAAAGTTTTTTTCTCTTCAAAATTATGAAGTTATATATATATTGACATTATAAACCAAGATGGATGTTAAAGTTTTGTGAGCTTATTATAGTTTAGGATAAACGAGGCAGAAGACATGTGGAATATATATACAGTACTATAATTGGAAGCAAGAGGTTCAGAGATTTATTTTAATTCTAAGGAATATGTATCTTATTGAACACTGATATGTTTCTGCTTGTACAGGTGGCTGGAGCACCACTGGCCAGGTCAGATGGTTTGGGAGAGACGAGTCGAGGCCATGTTATGACAGACAAAGAACTTGAGGATTCTCTGGCAAAACTCAGGGCCACATAGATTAAGTACTTTATAAAAAGTCCTAGTGTTTAAGTCAAAGCTTTTTATTTTACGAATAATAAAATACCATTGAATAGTTACTTTTAGGACTTTGGTGAGCATAAGAATATAATTGTTAAATAGATTTGATTATCTGTGATTTATATGTGCAAAAGAAAATATGTGGGTATTTATATACCGTAATAGTTTTACTCTCCTGGGCTTTATGAAAATTTAATTGAATAAGATTAATCTGAACTTTTGTTAGTGTATGTTAATGATTATGAGTTGTAATCTGTTCAACCTTATGTCATTGTCAAGGTTAACAGTTAAATGGACCCCTGTCCTTGCAGGTGCTGTACTGTACTAACTTACCTTGATCTAACAACCATTAGGATCAGGTCCCATTACAGCTGGGCTCCAAGCCTAGAATTTAGGAAAGGTTAGATTAAAGCCTATTAGGAGTGAGGTCCATTTTACTAATCATCATTGGGATTGAATAAAGGCTAAGAATATTTTATATAAGTAAAATTTTCAGTAATTTGTTGTTGAGCTAATACTGTATAGTATATATACCTGTACTGTGTATACATAAATATGCGTGACACTGTTACCCATAAGGAAAAAAATAAATTTTAAGAGGGTAAGAATGTTGTTTTTAGGCATACCATGGGCAGCTTTGTAATAAATATACTGGTAAGTACAATATTGTACATGTATTGAAAAAAAATCACCGTACACATTCAATCATTAGTTACATCCTTCTAACGCTTAGAATTACAGTACAGTACGGTACTTCAACATTACTGGGACGTCTGTAGTAAATTACTGTATTTCTTATTTAAAAACAAATATGGTAAACATTCTTTGGAGTCTTTGTAAACATTAAGTTTTAAATATTCTGTACAGTAAATTCAAAATTTCTCCTATGAACAGTTCAAGTATTTTATTCTTAGACCTAGTGATTAAATAGGGCAAATGGTTCTTTACTGTATCAAACAGTTACTGTATATCTGCTTACAAGCTACATATTGCTAGGACAGTACAGTATGTCTCTACTGACCTGTTGGTTAATTACATATGCTGGAAGTCTCACTTTTTCAACTGTCATTAAGACTCACCGGCCAAGTTGTCTGATGGGCAGTTAAGAGATTGTAGATAAATTTTAAGATTACTTTGCCTTTGGCTATCTGGCATGGATGTTCATTACTAATAGCGTCTTCTTTTTTTTAACTGCTAGTTAAAGGAAAAAACATGCATGCACACACTGAATAAATATAAACATGTACACTAATATATTTTGTGCATTTATGATTTATGAATAGTTAACACATTTTTATTTTATTCAGTTAATTCAATTTTAAAATCCCAGCATCTGTGTAATACATTTGCTGTTTATAAGTATGTATTCTCTCCCACAAATTCTTGAGTTACAGTATTTTCATATGTGCAGTAACTTGGCAGACTGCATGCTTCTACTAGTACTAATTATCATAAGTCTTGTAATAAATTCTCAGATTTTGAAACTGTGTGCCTTGCCTTATTGTGTCATAGTGTTCTTCAGTCCCATTCTGTGACTACAATTATTACTATGGGAGATATGTAAAGGTAACAAGTGAATTATCTGTGCTTGGGAATAACATGTAACCTAGGTTTTATTGCTGACCTGACCTGAGTTGTGCTGTTTAAAAGTGCTGTACAGGACTTGCTTGTTCTTGACTGGTATTGAATAATAGTGCCAGAAACTGCCTTATTCTCGATTGCTGACTTGAGTTGTAAGGTAAAAAATAAAAGGACTGTCTTGTTCCTGATCTCCAAGTGGACTTGAAAAAGTTGACTAAGGGTTTTGTGTTCAGAGATGGTCTCATCAGACCCATCTCCAAAATGAATTGCCTTTTTACACTTGGAAGGGCTGTTAGTAAATCTGAAACACTGTCTTTTGATATAAGGTTCTGTAAGTACAGTATTTTTCAGGTTTGTTACAATGTCAGTGATGATTTTAAAACATCAAGATTCTGCATTTCATTGACAAATACAAAATTGGTCTGTACTGAGAGGAAGATAACCCAAAATGAACTAGGAAACTCATATAAAATTAAAATTTCATTTAAAAGGAAATTTTTTTTCTAAGTGTGGCCTCTTTTTTTACCATTAGTTAATGGTTACAGTATTGACTACTGTACTAACAATGCTTATCATTTGCTCTCTCTTTCATGTCACCAATTCTGCACTTTCATAAATTCTTTTCATCTCACATTATCTACCAAATATCACCTTTTCATTTGTAATATTTCCTTTTTATCATTATTTTGATGTTCCACCCATTCAGTCGGGTAAAGCTGCTATACTGGGTATGGCAGACCATCTTGTAAAGTTCTATATAAAATATTTAATATTAGGGCTTTTCACCTACCGGTATGTATATTCTGATAACTTATTTCTCAAGTTATGGAGAGAATAGGAGAGGAGATGAAGGGAATGAAAGAACAAAGTGAAATGTAGTGAAGGCAGTCCCTCTGTCGTGACCACCACCTCAGAAGGGAGCGAGGCAGTTATGATAAAGAGGATTTCGTAAATATTTGCTTGTACAGTACAGTACATAATGTGTGTGAATTAGTGCACAAGATCTGGGTATACAAATACGGCTTTGATAATTAAGTAGTAGTTTACAGTGCTTCATGATAAACACTTGTATGCTTTACTGACAAAAGTACATTCCTATCAAAGTTGTTACAGCTGTATTAGTATAGGTACAAGAAAATACTCTTGTCATGATAAGGAATTTTAATTGTTTGAAATTTAATGTAAAGAAAAATAATTTTATATACAGTATTTGTATATATATCTGTAACAGGCAACTATTCAGACTTCTTAATACATGATTACAGTAATGTATATTAAATATATTCAGTATGTTAAATATATTTTGCAATGAAGAATTTTTTTTCTTCTAATTCCTTCTACAATAGTTTTAAGTACGTAGTTATTTTAGTCCTGTAGTGTCCTAAAACAACACTAGGTATTAAATGTCGAGACTACAAGGGAAAGTGCAAGTGTATACTGTATTAGGCCAGAACTGTCTTCCTGAATATGTATGTACAGTATACAGTATATTTAATGTTACCCAGTTCTGATTGACTACAGCTTTCTACTCTTCGATTCTAGTAACGGTGTCAAGGCATATTAAACCTTAATCTCTATGCAGAAATAAGGTTGTAATCGCCATGGTTAATATTTATGGTAGGGTATATGAGGTTAGTTGGCTATGGTAGACAGATACTGCTGGACACCAACTCAGAGTGGGCGGTAGAGGGTTGGTTGATAGGATGGTGGTAGTTAATAAGAAGGGAGTTGTAGAGTAGTCCAGGGTAATAGGAGGTTGTGGGGTGCTGGGGAATAGGGTTGTGATTGGAATGGTTATGAGGTGGTAGTTGGGTTGTAGGGTGGTGTTATGGTTGTGGGTGGCGTTAAGGCTGTGTGGTGGTGTTATGGTTATGGGGTGGTGTTATGATTGTGGGGGTGGTGTTATGGTTGTGGGGTGGTGTTATGGTTGTGGAATGGTGTTATGGTTGTGGCGTGGTGTTATGGTTGTGGAATGCTGTTATGGTTGTGGAGTGTTATTTTTGTGGAATGGTGTTTGGGTGGTGTTATGGTTGTGGGGTGGTGTTATGGTTGTGGGGTGGTGCTATGGTTGTGGGGTGGTGTTAGGGTTGTGGTTGGATTATAGGGTTGTGGAGTAGTGACCGGTGTTGTGGGATGGCGGGAGGAGTTAGTCATGCTGGCTGGCTGGCTCAGTCAGGCTGGATCAAATCAGTGTGTGAGGTGGTGTGAAGGAGGTTGGGTGTGCCAACAGGGTAGCCCGGGTGTGACGCGCAACTCTGCCGCAGACAACAGCTATACATTTCCCGCCGCGCATCAACAACACCGCCACATTGTACATACATCCTCACAACCAGGCTGAGGTGGTGGTGTATGTGTGTGGTGGCGTTAAACTATTCATCACATAACTAGGTGAGGTTAAAGGTTTGTGACGTCTCACTAAAACTAAACAGGAAAACTCGTACTAACTATGGCTGGTGCCGTTCTAATAAAGACTTGAATCTATATTCTCATAGCTTTGCATACTAAATTATTCTCGTAAATGGCGATGGGAGAATGATTCTAACCATCTCATTTTAGGTGGTGGTGTAAAGGTTAATTTTTAAAGGTTCGTACGTTGTTTCACTAAACCTTAATGGAAAATTTATATTCATTAGTTTTTTCACGAGATTATATTATGATGCTTTCTTTAAGATTCGTAAGTTAATATTCAATGACATAGGGAACGAAAGAACACTGCTGAGCAGCCTGAAAACTGAAAAGTTAAACATGGATTCTCAAAATATCGTACTTTGATATTATCCTAACTGGTGAAGTGACAGCTCGCATAACTGCCCTAATTAACTGCTAAAAACACTAAACTGGAATGGCGTCGAAAATGCGCCTAGACTGGCTAAATGAGATGCGTTTTCTTACACCCAGTTACAAGAAAAAATAAATTCGGATTTTTTTCTCTTTGGAACTGTCACTCGTTACTGTGTGTTTCAGGTACAGAGTTTTGTTGCTTTGACACGACTATATGTACAGCTCATCTGGTACTAGTGGATTTGTTGTGTAGTGAACTAACTAGGGTTCTGTTTAGTTTATGTTAGGTTTAAGGGAGGTTTAATGTCGGTTAGGTTTAAGTAAGTTTCGATTTAGGATAGGTTGTAATTTAGGTTGGGTAAGGTTTGAGTTAGGGCAGCTTATTTTACTTTTTACTTTAGGTTTGACTTGGGTAGGTCAAGTTTAATTTAGGTTAACTCGGGTTTAAGGTAGGGCAGGTTAATTAAACTTAATTTTAGTAGATTGGGTGTAGTGAGGTGGTTGACATAGATAAATTGGGTTAGTTTATATCTGGTAAAGTTTGGTCGTTAGATATGGTTCGGTTAAGTTAAATAAGCATTATACTTGAGTTAACAATCAATATTAATGACCCCCATGGAGATAAAGATCAGTGTGCTCAAAAAGCGATACAAAATAACAGTGACCCCAGACAGCTAGGAATTCAAGGTTATTTGGTGAAGCCTAGTAGCAGTAGGGGAACCAACAGGTGCTTGGCGCCGACCTGTGGTACTGACACACGGTAACAAGATACGAGAGAGAGAATTTGTCTTCCTCTCTCTACCGCCACGTGTAGTATATTTCCTGCCACCTAGATTATAAAAACACGTGACTCACTGGTGGGTGGCAGCCAGACTTGCCACCCCTTGCTGGGCTGGGTGGAGGTAGTGATGGGGAGGGTAGGCAAGCAAGGTATTGTTTGTGTTCGTTTTATTCCACTAATTATACACTCATAATAAATACCAGGTCGTAGAGTATTACATTGGTTTGGTTCATGGTACGTATACACCATTAACGGTCGTTTTAACAACTTTTTTAAGAGCGTCAGTTGTGTTGTTGTGGTTCCAGGTGAGTGTTTCTCTTGTCTTGCCATTGACAGTCATCTTTTTATCTCCAGATAAGAGTTTTATGGTTGGGGTGGATAATTATGTCATTGACGTGTTGGTATTTTTTATAACTTTCGTTTTGTGATTGTCACAATCTTAATTGTGCACCACTCTTACAAAAATCCCAGATTCACCTCTGTGCCTCGGGTAAATAAGTCCACTCATCCAAGCTAGGTGTATTTAAGTTAAACTTACGCTAACATAACGTAATCTAATGTTAACCAAACAAAACCAATATACAATTACCTACACAGTGTTACATTGGGTGATTTTCTTGGTTGTTTTATTTTTCATCTAGGACAAATTTCAGATTTTGTAGGTCAATTATATTCGTTTCATCTCGCGGAGTCGGACGCGGACACCGACGCGTTCCACGTTATTTTCACGTGGGAGCAGTTTCTGTGTGTCATAGTGACAGAGGTCAGTGATTTTTTGTGTGTGCATGTGAGTTGTTATGCAATATATCAAGTTCTTAACAAACATTAGGATACAAAATATTTGCCCAGAATGTGCGTGAAGCCCGACCTTGGTCGTGTCAACACACCACCGTAACTTATTTCTCCATGATAAGCTTGACATTGTCACTGTGCCAGCTTACTCGGTGTAATAGGCTAGACAACATTTGTCTTGCCATGGTCACAAGCCTAGCTCTTTGCCACTGCCTGAGGTTAGCGTTTTTTTTTTTTAATGTCCAATCATATCGCTGACACTTGTCCTTCAATCAGCACACCACCGCCGTCGGTCACTGCAAAGTTCTTCGGTGTTTGTGCTCCTGTTTCTTGAAGTTATGTACGCCATCACTTTATACACATAATTATTCATTAATACATTCCCCGCGACTTTTAACTTGCTGGAGGAATTGTAGACATTCCATCATGCCCCTCCACGATGCTTTCTTTATGCTTCCTCTTACATGTCTGGGTAATAAAACGACGAAGTACTGTACAATACTCAACGTTTTTCACAGGTAACTTCCTCAAGGAACTATTTGAAATGAACTTCAAGGGGCTTTGTAAACATTCCGTATTAGTGCCGTGTGTCATAACTCGCCGAAATATTGCACACATTGTAACATTTTCAGGTGCCTCGCCATGTGCAGTGGTTACCCCATTTTGTTTTATTCTTTTCTCGCTTGATTTCTTGCTCGTCTGGGGTATGTCTTAGTGACTTTTTTGCGCTAGGAAGCTGAAATTTTGAAAATGTTGACCAAGTACAGTAGTTTAGTATTTATTTTTTTAGTTTTGGGCATGGCATGAGGGCGGTGTACATTGAGCAATAATACAAAAAATTAGGTAGTTAAAGTGTTTTCACAGGTAGATATACTTAAAAACTCCTACACCTGTTATGGTTTGAGGGTCATCAAGTTAAAAAGGTCAGTTTTCACACAGCACAGCAGCGTGAGTTGGCGCCTTGCCAGAGTGTAATTTAGTTTGATAATGTGTCAGTAGTTTCTAAACCATCATCATCGCTATAAACGAGATGATATAATTTACATATCATTAAGCTTTGTAAGGTTACATACAGGGTGATAATTAATTCATTAATATATTTGTTTTGTTGATTAAATTGTTTTATTTGGATAGTATAACTTCGGGATCCCAAATATTTAGAACACAGTTTGAAAATATTGGTGAGTCAAGGTGATATACAGTGCAGTAAGAGCCGACCATCTGACAGAGTTCACTAGGCTGTTGCTGTCCGGTGATAAGAAACAGAGATCTGATTATCAATGTAGATTTCATCTTGATAAATCACGATGTTCATGACCGAAAAATAATTAAGCAAGCCTGTAGAATAAACGAAAAAGTTAATATTAAGACAGAGTCCTACAAGGAAAGTGAAAAAAATAATAATAATTCAAGACAAATTCCTTCAAGTATATTCCAATGGCTGTCGTCTCTGGAAGCTTCAGAAAAAATCTTCAATCATTTTTTCAAATACTGTATATCTCTTCACTCGTCCTTCTCTTATCACTAGTCTTTCTGAGGTTACATCTGAAAGAACTAATAATGCAGACCTTGCAGCATAACATTTAAAGGGTCGGTTCAGAAGGTGAGAAATTAAACGATGTTATTCTTGGAGAGTGTGTATAGGGGACGTAATTATTCTGTCTATAGAGCTAAAAATCAGTCATGCCAGCATATAAGGTGATCTTATACGTTCAAAGATGTTATGACACTGATTTTTCGGCTCCGGAAGTATGAAATTAACTTTGAACTCCCGAAGTGAACTAACCACTAACCAGAATAAAATGCTTGAGTGCGATACAACTCCTTAAAGGGTTAACTTTTAATAAATTATTTATTTACTTATTCATTCGCCCTGATTCTTTTTCGTGGATTCATTATATTGACTTATGTTTAATTATTTCACTGAATTATATCCCCGAAAAACAAGGAATTTTATGGAATTGTGCGCATCGTCGAGTTCGTTGCCCTATGGCCGAAACCAGGTGAATTCTGAGTGTTCGGTATTATATTGCGAGTTCGATTAAATTTAACGCATCCACGCGGCGTCTAATTTGATTATAATAAGACATAGCGTTGGACTGTATTTAACGCCAGACGATTTTATTCAGCTGAGAAAAACCCCTGCCACTCAGGGGTTAAAATAATTGACATTGAGGCTTTGTGTTGGCGCAGGTCCTCGCCAGACGGGAAAAGCATAAACATGATTATTAAAAATACTGTGCCTTGGACTGTCAGCCTTGGTTGTACTCTTTTTGCTTGTAACACTGTAGTATTCACATGTATATGCATGTTTACACCTAACTGAACACATAATGTATATTCATGCATGTTACACATAAAAACATACAAGGGACACTGACACATCCTCCCACCAACAGTACAGTGCAAAGATTGACCATCAACCCACAAGTGATATACAAAAGTGACAATTTCAACTCGAAAGAAAGAAACAACTGATAGAGCGATAAATAATTATCAGTGTTTAGCAGTCAATCTTGACCTGACGGGAACAGACACACCCTGTCCACCCTATATCAGGAGAGAAATGTGGACTCCCTACTCCACCCAGGTGAGGAACTATGAATTCCTAACCTCATCACACGAGGAACAAGAACCTTCTTCAACACCCTGTTTGAGCTGGAGGACGTACCCGACCACGTGGTGCATCTGCAGCTGTAGTGAGGTAGTGGATTAACACCCAGGTACATAAGAACATAAGAATGGAGGAAACTGCAGCGGGCCTATTGACCCATACTGAGCAGTCCCGTTTATACCCAATCCCTATTGCTCATATAAGCATCCAACCTATGTTTGAAGCTATCCAGTGTATTCGAGTTAATGATGATATTTGGTAACTTGTTCCATTCATCCACTACTCTGTTTCCAAACCAGTGTTTACCTATTTCACGCCGAAATCTAAATTTGTCTAATTTAAAACCATTGTTACGAGTTCGCTCCTGGTTGGATAGTTTGAGTACCTTTGTAATGTCCCCTTTGTTTAACCCTGACTTCC